AATAAGTTCATGGGCTATTTAGTGGCAAGTCAAAAGTAGCAACATTTTAATTGTAGTCTTCCAGATGTTTGAAGATTACTTAGACCTGCATAACGTTATTCTTTAGCCACTTGGGGGCAAAGCAGCATGCTGTAAACACAACACTGACATATTATTACCAGATGGACCAACATTAGCATTCATTTCAAGGCTTGTTTCTGGCCAACTGGAGACCTTTTAGCTCTGTCTTACTCTCTGCCAACTCTTGAGGCAAAAATCTGTCTGTTTTGGATGCTTAATACTCCACTGTGTTAACCAGCTAGTTTCTACATTTGTCTGCTCTATGCTGCTGGGCGAGAAGGGTACCGTGGGATTATCAGAGCTTCTTTAATTTTTTGCAGAAAACAGCTGCTTTGTGTAGCTGGAAACAAATTTGATGAGAGACTGAACCAAAACAGTGCAGTAGCAAGACGAAAAAAAATTAAACAATGAACCTAAAGAAAGCTAAAAAAAATCCTGTAGGGCTGAGGTGAACCGCAGACGAGTGATAATTCTCTGTAGGTTTGTTACTATGAGCAACCCCGTTCCCATCGTTTATCTAAAAATGTTACATTAGTGCAGCTTTAAAGGTACTTTATTAGAGGTGAGGAACTCAGACATACTATATCACATGAGGCAGGAATTCAGACTAAGGCCCTTTTCATACTACAAAGACATTCAACAAAGACAATTTTAATTTGTCCTTTTTGCAAATGTGATATGGGACTGAGGGTTGACTGAGGGTAACATAAATAGATGTTCTGACTTTCTTGTCCCTTTGGTGTCCCTTGGCATGAAAAGCCCAGCCACTTTGGTAAATGTGAGCATGCTGCATTCTGTTTACCAACACCACATCACATGGTTTCTGCTTATTGAAGTTGTTTAGCATCATTTACCACTAGCTCCCACCAGCAGCCACCAGACTATTAAGTTACCCGCTGTGAGCTTAAATATGAGAGGTTATCCAAGTTCAAAAGCACAGTATCTGCGCTTACTTGATTTTATTTGTTTGTTTATCAGCGCAGATGGAATAAACAGTTCTGAACAGGTGTACGAAGGTTTTGTTGTGTGAGCTTGGAATTTTAACATTGAAACGGCAGGTGAGTACAGCGGTTTCCTCTCATCGTGGAACATCCTGTCACATACCTGAGAGAAACTTCCTCTTCAGAAAAACATCAATATTTACCAGAATACACAGATGCCTCTAAATCTAAAAAAGGCCTTTCCTCCTAGCATGTTTTTATGTTCTACTGCCAGTTGCCCTCCCACCAGTGCCAGCTCTACCACATCTTTATTTATGACTTTTTTTTTTCTAAATATTCCTTTTCAGAGAGGGTACACTTCAAGGAGGACATTTTAACAGAAAGTACTCTGCATTCCTCCTGCCGGACTGTAGCTGGACTCCAAAGTAAAGTTTACATTTCTGGGCTGCTGAGAGGAATTCTGCCCTCTTGGGCTCTGGACGAGACCTGAGGGTTACAAGACAGGGATCACGGATGGAGACTGGGATTCTCACTTACAGATACGTTGTGAAGGTGTCACCAAACACAGGCTCATTTAGACTTTAACTTTGCACTTTGTGTGGCACTGATGAGATCTGCAGAAGTATTGATACTTTAGTGATAATTTTAAGTTGCTTTGTCACTCGTAGCAGCTTTGGCTCTGGAGTGGCTGTTAAAAATTCAGAATGTATCAAATGAACACTGGCAAAATGCTGATTTTAATTTTCAGAGTTGATGATTTTCTGTTGAATGTGGAGTCTAATTAAATCTTGATACAGGTGTGATACTCAATAACGAAACCCTAATGTGCTCTGCAAATTATCTCACTCTTCACATTTTAGTAACCTTCCAAAATACATGTTGAATCAACAGGTAAATGGATCTTTTATTAACATTATTGTCTTGAAAGAGAATAGACATCCTGCAGGCTTTAGCTAGCCCTATAAATAGAGGGCATCTGCAGCCATTGATACAGCACACTGTAGATGTGCTGGGAGAGGAGAGGAGAGGAAATTCAGTAACGACAAGCACAATTCTGCTGCTAACACGATTTCAGCTGAGAAAATAATGTGCTACTCTATAACTTTTACTGCACCATCTGATGATAATTATTATTGTGCTGATCTGAAACCCTGAGCAGAGCTGTCTCACTCAAGGACTCTTCTACATGCTGCCTGCTGAAGGGCTTAAAAACTGAGCAGCCACTTTGAAGGACAGTTTGGACTTTGATCTAAGCTAATTAACTTGGCCTGGACCAGAAAAATCTCACTTGGGAGAGATCAAAGCCTTGACTAGCTGTGATAAAGATCTAATGAAGTTTATTAGAGCTTGACTTTATTCTATTAATATATGAGATGTATTATTCTATTAACACGTTTATGCATGCGTCTTTGCGTGTGTGCACAGTTGTAAATAGCGGGCAATGACAGTATACTGTGTGGCTATTGTATTGTTGTACTTACAATAATACCAATGCTAGGCATGGGTGCAAGGTAATAGCAATACATAGTGGTATGTTGTAGACTTAACTACAACCACAATATGAGGGTTATGGTAAGCAGTTCAGCACTGCCCCCTGCTGGAACAATAATTAATTACTTATATATTTTTTCTGATGAAAAGACAGACTTTTTACCACAATCAGCAACTTCACATTTCAGGAAGATGTGATTAAAAGTGCATTGAGAGTTTTACAAAACAATTGCTTACATGCTGTGTACAATTGTTCAAATCTTATAGGATCCCTATTAGCCTCTGCTAATGCTACTCTTCCTGAAAAAATACACACAAATGACATGAAAGAAAAACACAAATTAATGGATATGAAAAGTGTGTAAAAACAAAATTGAACTGGTACATAACACAGTGTCTTTGCCCACAGTGTCCTTCACTGTCACTCTACTTTCAGCTTACTAATGGAAAGAAAAACTCACAGCAACTTATTTCCTCCAATCCTTTTTCTAATGACGCACCTGAACGACCTGACTTCAGTGATCTCAGTGTTTACCCACTGATGAGTTATTTATCCCATTTATCTGCATCACAGAAGAGTGAAACTTATTTGTATAGTCCTCCAGTCCAACTTCTGCCATCACGTGTGATTTTCTACATCAGCAGGCAGAAACCGCCTCTGTGCCCAAGACACATTACACTATTATAAAGGAGGAGACGCATCAACAGATTACTTCCACCTACAAGTTCAACCTTAATTCCTGTCTGCCATATAATCACATGTGGATTGCTGTTTAGCATTTTTCTTAAAGGAGACATTAAAATAAATGTAAAGGAAAATGACGTGTCAACTGAAAAACAACTTAATAATTTCCTATGTGTCTATTCACCTCAAAACAAACACCCCTGCTTTCTTTGCACCTGGTGAAACTTTCCTCATGCTCCTCAGCTGTGACATTTCTGTTGGGAAGGAAAATCTTGCTCAGCTCTTTGCAGAAAGCTGCTACTTTCTGTGTGTAACCACCCCAGAATACTCCCTGTCCTACTGACGTCCACTTCAACCTGTTCTCTTCCCGAGTGATGTATTCACAACATTGTCCAAAATGTCCTCATCCCTCACTCTGCCAAGGAAACTTTTGCCTTCTGCGTCACAGCAGTCTGTTACTTCCACATCTAAATCCAACTCCAGCACTGTCTGTTCTGAAGTATACAAGCTAAATCCTGTCTGCTCCTTGATCTCATCCTCTCATCGCTGCTTGGAGCTTACTTTCTTCAGTCTATGGGGTAAACATGGAGATGACATTTAATGGGGATTTTTAACTCCTATCAGACCAGAAAAGGTGTACCACAGGGATCTGTTTTTTAATGTTTCTATATAAAAAATGCTGTTTGTGACAGATGACATATTTGGCTCAGCCCCAGCAAATGAGGCATTTACTCAACTTTAGTTAACCTTTAATAGGGTTCAAACTTAGCTTTGAGAATGTAGGCTGTTCTTATATGCAGAAAATGCTGAGTTAATGCTGTTCTCAAGACACAGGAACACGGTCGTGCATCATGGGCAGATACTAGTGATGACTGTCTTAAATGACCAGATGTTGGCAAAATCATGAGCTGACATTCTCTATTATGCAACAAAGTTCAGCCGGTACACCATTTGACCTTGCCTATATTTGTCCAGTTAATAACTGGGCCTAAAAACCTATTTGAACCTTTATTTTCCCCAGGACAGTCAACTGAGTACACATGTTGTTTTCCAGGTTCACTCCCAATATACATTTACTGTCCTGTACTGATACTGAGCTATACTAAAACAGTTGAGTTAAATGCTTTGATCAAGAATAAAAAAAGATAGTCACTAACAGTTACTGAGGGTGGAAAGAGCATTACTCATAAATCACTTGTGTTTTATCTGCAAAGTTTAAAATTAGACTAACTGTAGGCACGCAGAGGTCACTGGATCTCTAATATCTTCTAATATGAAAGAAGCTATTAAACCTAGATCTGGTAATGTCTCCAACCAAGATATTTAACCTCAGATTGTTAAAACTATTTTAGTAATGTCCATCCTGAATTATTCATTAAATGTCTTCCAATAGGAAACTAGCACTTTCACAGTAATACTGTGATGTTGACAAAAAGAGGGAATGACATTCAATCTTTGTTCCTGAAGTCACTTGCACCTTAAATAAAACATTGTAAAGCGACCTGACCACTGACTCTCATCCAGCAACCTGCCAATCTTTGACTTTAACTATTGAATAAACAAATCTATTTCTGCAGTGTTTGCAAGAATTGTGCTATGTAGGACTGGTGGAATGACATAAAACAGTCCTAACTCAAAGAAGCAGTATGGATTTAAATAAAAACCAAATCTAATAAACTGTATTTTTACTGCAGAATAATGTAGTCATGCACACATACTTAAGGACTCTGTTATACTAGATTTGGCTTTGTGTTGGAAAAAAAGAACTTTAAGTGGTAAACTATAATTTCATTCAAATTAAAAATGACTCTTCTCATTTCAGGTTCAGTACATTTGGGTAATTTATTCAGCACATGGTAGGCTGCTAAATCTCAGTATTAAAAATATACATGTCATCATAACTTTACATTTGGGTGAAATAGTAAAAAATTATTAGTGTTTGCTTTAATTTATTTTACTTCAGGTTACTACTAAGTTTGGTTTCTTCATTTTCGGGAATATAGCTTCGGGATAGAGAAATGTACTGTGGGTTGTCAGTCACAGAAAAATAGTGATAACTGTACTTTAAGTGAAGCCCCACACGCAAGCCGTCAAGCCACACAGATGTTTCCACTTAATGGGACTGATTACACCTCTCCTCTGGACCGTGATTGACTGACATAGCTATGGCCACCATCAACGCATAAGGAGGATTAATCAACCAGATGATTGAAAACACCTGTGTGGTGTGCGGGGCCTTTAAAATCAACATACCTATGTACTGTATGTTAAAACAAACCATAAAACTGAACTATCACTTGACCTTCACCAGCACTAACTAACATATTGCATGTAGATTCATTGCGTAGGATCATCTGTGATGTGACAGGCAATTTAATACACAGAAGAAAGAACAGTTAAAAGTGATTTGTCTGGCCGAAGGAAACACCACCTACTTACTGTAACAACAAAATCTTATTACATGGAACAATTGGCTGATAGAAGAGTGTAATATACTGTCCTAAGCATTTAGGATGTGTATGTACTGTACTTCTTGATTTATCATTAGAATACAACAGTGTCAATTTGAATAGAAATTATCAATTTGAATGAATTATAACTTAAAATACAGGAGATAATAGATAAGAAAGAGGGCAATGTATGTCAGATCACTTTATTGCTGAATATAATTTGGCTAAATTGCACTATAAACCAAGGGTGGCTTTTGTTTATTCCCAATTTTACAGTGCACACTCATAGTTTAATTGATAAGAAACGATGAGAGACTGATCTGAGGGTTAATCCACTTTTACCGGCCTACTGCAACCTGCTGCTTCATTGCACCCAGAAGCATTGTCTGTACTGTATTTTAACATTCAGAGCTGGTGGAGCCAACAAGACTGCCACTGAACACAGCAATAATCTCCCTCTGATAATCAGGTTGACGGCTAAAACACCTTTTAGCTTTTCCGTCCAAGTAAATCACACCCCAGTCAGACACTAATCATTTAATTCAAGCTGATTACATAAATAAAGCTACCAGCGCTAGTTTTATTTTCACAGTGAAGGAGTGTGTGGTCCTGTCAGTGAGGACTGCAATATCTTAAAAATATAATCAGGTCAAAGAAAGACACACAGTCGTGATGACTCCCCTCATGAGGGGGGTGAGAAGAGGAAGGATGTGCTTGATCCGTTGTCCAGGCTGATGACTAAACAGGACACGTGGAGGAGAAGAGGAGGAAGAAGAAGAAGCCTTCATTGTTTGACAGAACCCCAGATGATGAGTCCAATAATAACAGCAACTACAACCAACACTATCACCAGGATACACATCTTCTTCCGGGAGCTCCGCTGATGGGGGGGAAGCACAAAGTGATTGTTTGTGTAATAAGGTATAAGATAAAGTGTGAATTGTAATAGAGGGATGGATTTTTTAACTGATGCAGTGAAGTGACTCAAAGACATAGCATGAATCAGATCACCTTGTGACTCAGCTTTTAATTTTCTTTTTTCCTTTATTTATTCAAGCAAACTGACTAAGAACTTGGTTAGATAAGGGAGCCCCTGTGCAGGAGTCACATATGAATATCTACTGCTACCCCAGAGACCACCAGAGCAACCAATCTTTCTTCACTGATGCACCGCTAACAATCAAACTTCTTGAACGTTTATACATTTGAATGCCTCTTCTTGTTCTTTAATCTCTTCTTTGTGTATCTGCCCTTCCTCTCATCTGATTGTCCTATTGAGTTTTTACCTGGTAGTCTGCAGCACGTGACAGCTGCTGTGTGGCACTCTGGACATGCACATCTGCATTCTCCACATTGGCTTCTATACTGTCTGCAGAACACACAGGAAACACATACATTTTCATGCAGCAGGTTGGAAGACGGGGGAAGATCATGTAGCACAAATACACACACTTGTGTTTTCACAGTCATTAGATGGTTAGACAGGTCAGCACAGTCATATTCTTAATTTATGTTATTATGCTCATTATTTCCCTGATATTATCTTTCTTTTTGTAACTATAAAAATTTTACTAATGTTTTTTTGTGTGTAGTTTTTCCTTATCCAAGGGTCTAAGAGAGAGTAAGATGAGAAAATCCTATCTGTCCGTTCTGTGTGAAGCACAGCCAGGTGATAGTTAGCTTAGCTTGGCTCAGCTTGTTTAGCTTAGCACAAAGACTAATTAGCATGTTATATCTCATGTTATTATCTAACTAGCTGTTCTCCCGCGTTTCCAGTCTGAGTGCTAACCTAAGCTAACTGGCTGAAGATTCATATTTACCGCACAGACATGAGAGTGATATTGAGTTTATCTTCTAACTCTCGGTAAGAAATATTTCCCCAAATTTCAAACTATTCCTGCAACACATTTGAGTTCCGCTGTCTTTCCCAAATATTTGGATTAAAAATTGCTTTAAAATGCTACTTCACTGTTATGTTGACACATTCAGAAATGACTATTTCTTCATTAATGTAAGATTGATATAGCACAAACTACAAAGTACTACAAAGTAATTTGATCATCTACTCTGTAAGGAGGAAGCTGTGGTGTAAGCTTGAGAGTTCTATTTTTTTGTTTTGTCAGCTATTATGTTAAGGGTGGATATGAACATAAGAATACATGTTTCCATTACATTTATACAGTTTTTGTTTTATTTTTTTATTTTACATTCTGGGCAAAGATTTTATTGAATAACGTTGGTGTATGTGAGAGAAGACTGTTGACCCAGCCCACATTCCTGTTGTCATTAAGTAGATCTTTCAGTTGCAAGTTGTTACATTATTAGAGGAACAGACGAGCAATCTATGAACAAGTGACAAAAGCTCACCTATCATGTCTCCCTGCTCATGGACCATCATCCCCAGGTCCTTGAAGATGTCATTGATATCTGTGATGTCAGCCTGAAGAAGCATAAAGACAGATGGTTCATGTGAAAGGGGCACTCGTGTACATGGGTTAACAGTGAACATAAAAACAAAGAGCCGATGAGATATTGTGATATTGATATTGTGTTCATTCTTATTTGCACCTCCAACTGCCTAATGGACGACTCTCTCTCCTGGATGAGCCTCAGGTCTTCTTCAGTGATGGCCTCAGCCTGAGCCTGTACCTGGGATTCACTGAGGAACAAATGCAGATCAAATAATAATAGTCATAATAATGATTGAAACAATAATGAATATAAATAGTGGACATACCTGGGGAAAGGAGGCCCACTTCCAAAGCTGGGTTCAGGCTGTCCCACCTGTCGCAGGAAATTAAGGAGTTTAAATAAACATAATGTGCTTGTTATTGCACATGTGACTGCAGAGGACGTTCTTTACTGTAAATATGGGTACAGCAACAATTCAGTATGTACAGAGGGCTATAAATCCCACAGTAATTCACATAATATCTCATCAAATATAATTTGATTAAATACCAGCATAACAGTTCATTGTCAATAACATGGAATGGGGACCTAAAGCAAATTAAACCCGTTGCTTTTAGTTTCCCAGCCAAGAAATGTTCCTTAAATCAACAACTTAAGGCAATAAGGAACTGTTCCTGCTTATCAGCATGAACACGATACTGTTCTGTGCATTGAATAAGGTGTGAGGGGACGATGTTGCTAAGAAGGCACGCTCTCCTGAAAGAATCTGTGTCTACACTGTCTGTGGCACAGTAATGTGCGCTATACCTTGTGAAGCTTCTCTTGTAAACTCTCAGTGAAAATAAATATGAACACACAACTTAAGTAGAGAAACCAATGCCAAAGTACAGGCTCATCAGCACCTGACATAGTGGACATCAGTTTTCATCCATTTTGGTGATGGTAGTCTTCTCCTTTGTTACTGCTGTCAACTGTTTCTTACCTAAATCTGCTGTCTTTATCTAAAGCCTCAATATCTTTATTGAGCTATGTGGCAGAGTCAACAGAAAAAAAGCCTAAAAGTCTACACCTTGACCTGGTGACCTTGCAGGCAGAGCAGGTTACTCACCGACACCCTGGAGCTGGCTCTGACTCTGGCCACAAACTCTCTCTCTTTGTCGGCTGCCTGCCGCTGGGTCTTTTGGAAGCTGTTCAAGGCGGCGGAGAAGTCATTCAGCAGACGCTCTTTTTGTATCTTTCTCTGACGCTAAAAGAAACACACACATAGAATAAAAATGTTGACCAAAAGAAAAGCCACAAAACTTAAACATTTGGAAAATTAACAGGATGGTACTAAACTGCTATTAACAAGCAGGGAAACTGTGACTTTGAAGACTAGTTAAGGAAGAAATTCGATACCTGATCAGGACCAACGGGAAGTACACCGAATGCCTTGATCAGTCTGTCAGTCTCCTTCGCTAGCTGGTTGCCTTGCTGCTGTTTCTGTTGCCTGGTCACCAAAGACAGATATTTTCTTCGTTTTGTTTGAGTAGAAAAATACTGTCCACAGATGTGTAAAATGCAGTATCAGTATCTGTCCAACATAATTTTTTTATGATTGATTACAAGGTTTATCCTTTTCCCCCATCTACATGACAACAGACCAATTATGCAAATACAACCGAGCCCCCATAACTCACAGCGTCTGACGCAGATGGCTGCTGTCCTTCTCTGTTCCCAGCAGAGAAACTGTCCTCTGCAGCTCCGAGGCTGGTGAGGAAGAAAGAGTGCAGACATTGTTTACCTGTACTGAAGTATCTCCACATGTCTACCATAATTCAAATACTGGAGTCAGTAAAGTGGTTGTAATCTGAATGTTGCAGCTGATGATGACAACTTCTTCTGTATGCGTGTATGTGTTGTGTATTACTCAGCAGTGTCAGCTTCTGGATGTTGGAGCTGATGCTCTGAACCAAAGCACTGGGCTCGTTGAGAATCCCAGCCTGGTAGGCCATGATGGGGAGCTGTGAGGACACACAACAGCACAGTTTGTTATTTCATTCATTCATAAAGTCAGGCAGAGACATTATTCTGGGATGTTTGCTGGGGTCATGTGACTCGCATGTGAAAACACATTTTGGTATTTGGGCTAAAAGCATTCAGTTTAGTTAGTGGGGGTGAGTTTTGTCTCTCTGTAGCCAATTTGCCTCATTTTATCACAACTGTAGTGGCTAACGTATTGAAATTTTAATACAGTAGAAGCAATAAAGTTGAACATGACAATATGTTCAGGCTTCACTGTAGATATCTGGAAAAAAAAACATAGTATTCAGCCAGTCTACACGTCTTCTCCACTGCAAAACACCAAAAATGTCAACTGTTATTTTTGGAGGCTAAGTCAAGTAATTGAAAAAACAGAGACTGATTTGATTGAAAAATATATATCCACACATTTGTGTTTAAGGGAAAATAAACATGCAAAAATTATTACAAATGGTGGTCTGATCATTAGTAAATGTAATGTCACAGTAGGCAGTAAACTACCAGCTATGATGGCTGAGGACACGGTACATGCCTGACACATGATGTGATTGAGAACGTGACACCTAGTTAGCAAGCTAGCAGAGAAGTTTAATTACTTAAAAAGTAATGGATAAACATTTGAAAAAACTGAATAAAGGATAGACAGTTGAAGTAATTAGCTAAAACCTATGGATACACTTTTGAAATAGTCAGCTGAAATTAATCGACAAATGTTTGTAATAATTAGCTAAAAACAGGGTTTTCCCTGGCTCAGAATGGGCCTCTGGGGGATGACTTTGCACGACAATAAGCATGATGGGTATGCGTTCAGTAAAAGCAATGACTTACCTAATGACCGAAATTTATGCATTTTCTTGTTATTTCTGATCATTTGATAAACAAAAAAAATATATATATATATATATATAACATTAAACAGAAAGTATAATGTTAGTATAATAATATATTTAGATGTTACACTTTATTTGGATAATCTGCCTACAGATAATTTATTTGTAGAGCCATTTTCTGATATTAGCCTACACCAGTGTGGTTAAGGTTTGATTAGTGTTAATGTTTGTGTATTCATTAAAATTTCAGATAATAGTACAGGCTACTATAGCTTACCATTAGTAGCCTAATATTAATTCCAGTTAATAAAACAGCAGTTTCAGTGGGTTGTTTTCAGTCACTAAATTATTGTGCAAGAAAACTGCTCTACACGGTGGTCAAACCAGCGCAGCGCATGTGTAACATACACAGCGGCAGTGGATGAGAGGAGAGATGCTGGAAGACAAGGCGTCGTATTTAAAGTTGTGTTCTGCTTGCTCAACAGTTGTTTGATAAATGGCTATTAAAACACATTCGCAGAGGGTTAGAAAGGTTGTCCCCCCCCCCAATTCTGATCGCTAAAACCTCTTTGGGGGGCGCCAAAATTTCTCTATGCAGGAAAAACCCTGAAAAATAATGTTTAACATTTTCAGTTTTTATCATTGCTTTTAATTAAATATTTACTGTAACTTTTATTATATTTTATGTTGCTTTTAACTTTTTTATATTTCCCTGTTGCTTTTATGTTTTATGTAAAGCACTTTGAATTACCTTGTTGTTAAAATGTGCTATACAAATAAACTTGCCTTCAATAATTAGCTAAAAGTAATAAATAAATGGTTGAAAGGCTCAGCTCCTGACACTCAAAGTAGTAACGTTAGTTATATAAATGTAAATTTGACTAAACCGGCCTAAACACTGACAAATGAATGTATGAAAAATTCCTGTAAAAATATCATATTCACTCTTATGCACTACTAAACTTCCACTTTAAATGATTTTAAATGAACACATTTGGAACATTAAAGTGGAGAAGGCATGGATGCAAACATGCAGAGACATTTCTATATATAGTTATATAAACAGAACATCCTGCGTGGGAGGATGCTTAATAAAATCTAACGTTATTTTTGTTCTTTAAATCTAGGTCTATTAAAAGATTTGTTCCATGTGCCAGAACAAATCCCAAAGCAAATTGTTTAATTAAGTCGCGGTTTTATCAGTGTTAGACTTCCTAATATTATCTTAGCATAAAGACAAAGGAATCATCACGTAACGATAGTAACGTTAACCGAGGAATCCCAGAGCCCTGACGTCACCTGGAATAACACCGCTAGCTAACGTTGTGATGGCTAACGTTAGCTACATGAAAATAACTCCACCTTAAGGCTAATTAACAGTCCCAAGCTCGACGTGTCGTCAAATATAACCCACTTAAGGTTATCATAACGCTACAGTAAGATAACTGCTAAGGGATGCGGGCATCATAACCTAACCTCCCACAGACATGCCACAGAAGCCTGTTTGTTTTTTTTGACAACTTAGAAGGCTTGATTCTTAATTACCCGTGACTCTGTCCAGGCAGACCCAGACTAGAAAACCTGACAGAAAAGGTTGGCAACAACTTGTCTGAAATATCGTTATATAGATGTAAAATATAATTTTATGCTGTGGCATTAATAAACTATTTCATTTGACTGGGACTAAGGTTAGCCCTAACTCACTAAAACAGTCCCACATAGACCTGAAGCACACGGTCTACTTTAAAGTTCGTCAATTTCATATGCAATTTATAGTTTTTTTTATTTTCTAATGGGACACTCACTCTCATTTACTGCATTAATCCTAATATGAAACAGGGTTGGGTGAGGAATGTTTACAGCCCAGTCACGCAGACTTCCTGTGCTTTTTTCTCAAGAGGACTGAAACTATGGCCAGTAGCCTATGCAAATAACCATCTGCTTAGAAACTATCGTGCCGTAAAACTGCAAAATGCGTTTTACTTAAAGATTCAGATAAAATACATTGATCCATGCTTTCTGCTTTAACCTGTTGCACACTCCCTCTCTGTCCGTTTAACTTTACTTCAGTAACTGCTAGCGAGAAAATGCGGAAACAACAGATTTCCACTGACGAGAAAAGGCAGCATACAAGATCTCTATGAGAACTGAGTAACTTCTTATCAGAATTTAAGTTGCTTTTTTCGTGTGAACTTTATTCCACTGTTGACTCCAACATGAAGCAGGTTACAGACGTCAATAAGTTACAATCAAAGTCGCAGCACATTTTTGAAGATGTTTCTCTGTCATTTTCCGGAGAACAACTTCTTTTAATGACTTAATGAATCAGCTTCACACGATAGTGATTATCATGCTAATGCTGTCAGTGTGGTCAATCCTTCCTAAATGTTCAGTAGTCTAAATGTTGGGACTTTACCTTTCTTGTGATTTGCAGCAGCGGCTGGTCGTTTCCTGATTCTCTGTTCCTTCCTTGTCACATGATGTCTGGAGCAGGCTAAATCATTGGTAGAAATTACTGTAAGACAAAAGAAGGGTTGTATGAAGCAGCAAAAAGTTAATGATAAGGATTAATAGAAACTGCATATTGCTACTTAACAAATATAGCAAAAAGGAAGCTTTAGTGTTATGAAGGTTATTTGTAGGAATTAATGGAATTAAGATGAATAACATGAATTTAAAAGATCTACGTTAAATAGACTATAAAGTACAATTCTGATGAGTATTTCCATTATATGCAGCTTTATACATATACACCACTACATTTTAAAAAAGAAATGTTGTGCTTTTTTTGTCCACTACACTTATTTGACAGTTGTGATTACTAGTTTCATATACATGTATGCATATACAAAACTCGTGCTTTGCTTGTAAAATATGCAAAGCAAAGCAATACACTGGTTTTAAATTAGCACCACCTCAACTGGCCACACCATGGAAATGCTGCTCACATTTAAATGCATCACTGCAACATCTATAATCATTTAGCACTGTGAAGAGATTGTCCTGCATGAGGACTTCTCTTTAGACTTTTATAAGTAAACTTTTACTTGTACTTGTAACAGAGTAATTTAATTGTAGTATTGATGCTTAAACTTGAGTCAAGGATCTGCATACTTCTTCCATCAAGGCTTGGATGTGTATCCTTTAAACACCTCTGTGTCTTCTTTAAAACATCTTTTAACACATTTGTGTAACATAAATCAAAATGTCAATATATATTAACAAGGCCAAAGCTGCCACCTCAGGTCCTGTCTTTTTTTCTAGGGATTTGGCGACCTACGCCGTACAGTTAAGAAAATGCTCATGGGGGGTATTTTATACCCCTGCTTCCAATATTTAAGACTAATGTATAACTTTTAGGCCATCAATAAATAATTAAATAAAGGATTCAATATTTCTTCCCCACAATTTTAGTCCTGGCAGGGTTAGTGCAACAATTTACAGAAAATTTGATTAAACAGACAACTAAATAAAAAAATAATGAAAAAAGACAATTAAAGAAACGTTAGAAACTTTTTTGTATCTGATCTAAATTTTCCAAGAATGGTTAGGGTGCAGGTGTGGGGGAAGTTGGAGGCATGACTCTTTTTAAAAAAATCTTGGCTTTAGCCCTGTGTGTCAAACCTGCAAATGTTAAATTACAATTTTAACATATTCACATGTTGTTTGAAAAAGTGACAAAAACGTGTGTTGTCCAGAAGATGCAGAGATGTGCTGAACACTCCAATGAGTGCAATAATATATGTTTAGGTAACTATGATCTGCTGTCCTGTGTAAGACCAGACGGGCACAGTGTGTGCACATTATGGTTCAGGCAGGTTAACCACACAGCCACTGTAACAGAGTTCAGTTCCACATAATCCAATCTTTCGCATACAAATCTGTTACACTGTTAGTTTGGAGACCAAAAGGCCTGTCAGAATCACAGTTTCTGCATGGCTGCACTGGGGGAGTGGTCAAAACAGTGTGCAAAAGTAAGACCATACAAACCATTAGAGGGCTGAAGCATATCAGCTCGTATGCACTTTCACATAATGTCCCATATCAGTTGTCCTTTGGTTTTGTAACTTGTGACAATGAAAGTCATGTGGGACATGACTTGTGAGTTGGATGTCATGTTGTGCCTGAGATTCCAGTTATACAATACATGGTGGTCAGCTGACAACTGTAGATGTGATAATTCACCACTGATGACCGACAGGACAGGTCTTATCAGTCTGCAGAGTGTGTGCTAAATGATGGTTAAAGGATTTAAACAGTCTTTTGAACTAGCTTTAAAAAATAACCTTAACAATTTTCAACTTACAGATAAAATCATGTATGTATATACGGTACAGTTTAAGACAAAAATAACAAGTAATAAAAGTGTCTAATCACTTTTACTATGTATGTGCCATTTATAGAGCGTTCAACTTGGTTCAGATGTAAAAACAAAAAAAACAAAAACAAATGAAATGTCAGTGACTGAATCATGGAGAAGGTCTGCTTCTTGAGTTGCATGATTTCTCTTTTATGCTGTCCTTATTCAACTCCACTTTTTATCTGGACTTTCTGTTCCTGAGTATTTGGATAGTATTGAGCTCTGTGTAAACACACATTGTCTTATTTGTCTGTCGCTGAGGGTTCACATGACAAGCGGACTAACTTGAGTGTGTGTGTATGTGTGTTTGCTTGTGTAAACAGAGGGTATTTAAGCCTTGTATTTATGTGAGAACTCTCCGTCCAGAGTGAAACTCTTGACTTCATCCCTCTGCAGTCCCAGCTCATCAGTCATGCTGCGTCCGACAGTCTTCGGCCTCCTCCTGGCATGTGCAGTATCTCTCTGCAGCTCTGCCGTATTTCTAGAAAATGGCATGCCTATCCTGTGGGCCCAAACTGCCGGCCAAGTGACTGACCTGCCGATACAGAATGGCATCCTGACTCCCGACCCCTGGCACTTCCTTCAGCGCATGAGTCTTTACCGGCTGATGATAAATGCTACAGACCCATTTATGGGATCCATGGGGACAAATGCCACAGACAGTCCAGTTTGGGGACTTACACTGCAGCTTGGATGGATGCTAACTACAGGTAAGATTTCAATTATTTTCTTTTTTTATCAATAACAATGTTTCCCCTAAATGAGGAAGAATAGTTTGTGCAAAAGTGGACAGTGAATCACTTAAGAGCACTTCTAAATCTAACCCTCAGCCATGACTTCTTTGTAATGATTAAATAAGCAACTTTTCCTGTAAGTCTCGGAGTCAACATGAGCAAAATGCCCATCCCTTGTTGTAATATAAGAGACACAATCTGATAACTTTATGTACAATGTGTTGTTTCTGCAGGGCGCCTCGCTGACCCAACTAGTGCTACAACCTGTGGCCTGCAGACAGGAGATACAACGTGTATTTCTACCCAGAGCTGGTGGGCCTGTAAGTTTGACAAATGCACACACACACACAACACACACACACACACACACACACAGAAAGTAGAATCCAAACTGTCTGACAGCATTCACCCAATGCACCTATAGTATCAGACCCTTTGGGTTCCCACTTAAAGTACCCATTGGACAAAACAACAGATACAAACACTCCTTCATACCCTCAGCCATTTAACTGCTACACTCCAGTAGTTAAAGGTACTATCAATTAGACCACACACCCTTATACTTATTTTTCTGTATTTTTCCTTTTCCTTTTGATATTTGTGTGATTTATATTGTGGTATCTGTGTGTTCGTAATGTTTTTACTGCTGAAAAACAAATTGCCCCTCCAGGAACAAATACAGTTCTACTTGAATTGACTGTAGATGTACCCTAGCCCTAACATTAAACCACATCTTCACCTTAAAATATAATAATTTGGGTTATAGGGACTTGCGTTTTGTCCCCAAAAGGAAGGCGAGTCCCCACAGTGTGACTGTGTAAACAAATTAATGTCCCCGTAACATTATACACACTGGCTCACACAAACACACACACACACACACACACACACACACACACACACATACAAACAGGGGCGGACTGGGACAAAAATTCAGCCCTGGCACTGTAGCCATACCAGCCCACCTTACCACGCATCCCCACGAACACACATTCACTACGTTTGTGTAAAGATGGTGAGATAATATAAGCAGTAGACCTACTGTATGAAACAGCAAGGGCGTCACTTTGTGTTGTAAAGAATTGGTGACATAAGGTCAGAGATTAGGGGTGTGATGAAAGACTTTGGTCATGAGAATAAGAGGAGAAGATATTTTAACACTAATTTGAAGAAATATTCGATGATAAAATGTTTGTGTATCAGGGGGTCCTCCCCCAGAAGATTTTGAGCATTAAACTCTTAATTTTCTGCATTCTGGAGACATTTTCTGCACCAATTTATGGAGTAAATGTCTTTATTTATATCAATGGCAGCACAAAATTTAGCAGGTGACAATTCAAAATACAACAATAAAATGGAATATAATGATTAATCAGTAGCTTTTTTTTGTTGCTTAAGTAACTTTCGTGGACAATGCACATTTGTTTCTTCTGTATTCAAATTGCATTGCATGTTTCTTATTGTGCAAGTAAACCTTTCTCAAAGCATTTTCATTCAGCCTACAAGAACACTGGGGGTCTCTATCTGTGCCGATTTCAGCAACGTCCATGATCACAGTAGCCGATTTAAACATTGCAGAAAAAAACACTGCTCTCAACATTGGAATACACATAAATAAAAACATTACTCACTAGCCTACTTAATTCTGCTCTCCTTGCCTTCACTTCTAATATTTCCACACAAGCAAGGAACAGACACCTCTGCTGCAAACACAGCAGCTTGCCCTAGCTAGCTACCTCTTCCTTTTTCTCTCTCCCTGTATTTGTCAGCCCTGTTGACTTTCTCCATCAGCAGTGGGCTGTTATAAATAATGTTATAAAGTGGCCGAAATGACACAGCATGACCATACTGTTTTCACCCGCGAGTGCGCGGAGGAGGCTTGTTAATGAGGAAGCCAATCGAAACCAAAACCAACATTGTACTCAGTTGCACCTGCACCAAAGTGTTCACTGTTGCATTAGGCAACCTGGTCCGTGTTTGTGAAATATTCACCGTCTGAGTCTTATAACGTAATCATTTCTCTCAGTGTTTCTCTGCAAAATGCTTAAATGGGTCGCCAAGTAAAGCTGATGTGTTGGAGACACTGATATAAATATCAATCGGACAAGCCCACCCCAAAACAAATAGTCCGGCCCCTCTGGCATATGCCAGAATTGCCAGGTGGCCAATCCGCCCCTGCATACACATACACATGCACACACACATGCACACACGCAAGCACACACACACATACACAACACTTTACACTAAAACACTATCAACACCACTTCTTTCTCCTCCAGGTGTGAGCTACTTTGTCTCTGCACTGCCATTCCTGTCTGCTGCACAGCAGGGCTTCATGGGAGAAGGAGTCCAGGTACTTGTGCAGTTGGACAAGTGAGACAGTTGATAACAAGACAAAGGGTCTATTACAGACATGCTAGCGGGCTCTGTGAGGCTTTTCTTAGGCACAGCAGTGCTTAGAGCTGAATGCTAACATCCACATGCTAAAATGCTCACAATGACAATGCTAATGTTAAACAGGTATAATGTTTACCGTATTCACCATATCAGTTTAGCATGATGGCATGCTAACACTTTCTAAAGTAGCACAAAGTTGAGGCCGATGGGAATAGCATTAGTTTCGCATGAATTTAGCCATAAACTAAAGTATTTGACAAATTAAAATTGTTATGGTGTTCATTATGATGATGATGATGATGATTGTAATCATGACTGATATTGATATTATTAGGTCCAGATGCAGGTGCCTGAAGGTGTAACAGACTATTGCACCACATATGCTGACTGTGCAGCTCGCTACCCTGATGCCATGTCTAAGTGGGATGCTTTTTTTCAGGTGCATGCAGTTCACAAACACACACACACACACACACACACACACACACACACACACATAGTACACAGTTGTTGTGGGGATCACTACTCAGCCTATGAGTATGATGTATAATGTCCTTTTTAAAACATAAAGCATGTATTATCTGGGGGTTTGGAGATTGAAAAATGTGGGCATACACAGTATATGTCTAAAACTCAGGATATCCCGGCCTCTGCTGCTTTTATTCTTCTTCTGCATCCCCAACTTTAAGGAAGTGCAATACTAAATCGCTGGAGTACCTCCTTAATGTTCTATGTGTGTGATTAAAGGGTCTGAAGTCTTCGGCTGACTCTCCTCTTCCTGAAAATGAAAAGAAAGACGCTCTCCTCGGCCTCTACTGGGCGGCCCAGATGGCTTCAATTTATGCCTCTGCTGCATGCAAAGCCAAGTAATCTATCTATCTATAATATAATCTATATTGAGATTTCGGAGACTTGCTAATCATCATCCCTGCCAGCTGTCGAGTCCCTCAACTAACTTTATTTTCAAAACTAAAAAATGCGAAGCATTGCATTGTGGGACTGTTAGCAGAAAATAGTGTACATGCCAAGGACACTACTTTTTTTGTTCCATTGTAGAATTTATGACGGCAGTATATAGCTGAAAAATTTACACACTTGTATATGGACACCAAATTAAATACAGTAAATATAGTAAATAAAGAGTGAATTCAGAAAGAGCCAAAATGTTTTCTAATCATTATGCTAAGCTAAGCTAATCTGCTGCTAGATGTAGCATCACATTTGGCAGATATTTGTGGTATGATTTTTCTAACTCTCTGCAACAAAATGAATGAGCAAATTTCCCAAAATGTTTGTGTCCTCTCCTTCAGGCAGAGCCACTACTCTGCTGCAGAGGTGTCATTTGCCAACAGCTGGCTGAACTCTGCGGAATATGTTTCGGCGGCACATTTCCACTCCAATTTGGAAAAATCTGCGATGTTCATGTCCCCTCTCCCAAGTAGAATTTTAAAGGTACGCACCCACAACATTCATTTCTGAAATCACATATTTCCAACCTGTGTATTTATCTCATTTTTGTTTCATCTGTCATATCTGTACAACTAGGATGGCGACAATGCGCCTAACATTGCCGATCTGAGTCAGGAGGAGAACTACACACTGTCTATCTTCTCCTGGATGACTAGCGTCAACAATATCCTGGGTAGGGCAGACACCCACACGCACACAAATATAAATAAGTATCTTTTTTATTGGATAAGTAAGCTTTTAAGGATGATCTTGATCATGTCACCTGCCAGGTGGGACTTTGGTTCATCTGTGGAGAAGTGCCATGTGTTCAGTCAACACAAGAGAGAAAGGCAGAGAGATGTTGGAGCAGCTCCTCCTGAATCCCAACTTCGCTACCAACACTTTCTTGTCCATCATTACTGGAATGACTACGAGCTGCTGAGACAAACAAACACACACAGAGAGAGACAGACAGATAGCAGCTGTAGTTCTATAATTGCATAATTGCAGTTTCTCATCTAAAAGTAACAGACAAATGTGAAAAATCTGATTTGACCTTTGTTTTATTTCTTTACAGTAATAGTAAGTATAAGTATAATACTGATAACTTTTGTATTAAAACTAACTGGCATTTTGTTTCAGTAGTGAAAGTAAGTTACGCCATTATTTGGATGATGTAGATCAACAGGTAGTTCCAGATTATACTTTAAAGCAGTTGATCCCCTGTATGTCTTTGTCCTTGACACTCTTGTGAATACATTGTGTCTCAGTAAATCATCAACAAGCCCTCATTTTATTGGCATTTTATTATATATTATAATCTTGTTATTGAACTGTAATCAATAATATATGGTACAGAAAAACAAGACACAAAAAGTTCTCAAACTTTTCTTTGAAGATGCACAGTGAGGTGTGTTTGCAAAGAGTATCTTAAATTTTTCCACTCCAATCAACTAGGCTCACAGTAAGTCACAATGTGTGGGGCAGATGGCAATGGGGGAGTGTAACTAAGTACTAAGTATTTACCTAATTACAGTTTTTTTTAGATAGCCTACCTTTCCTTCTGTTCTCCTTTCTTCACACTGCTTCACTGCACTTCATAGAGAAAATGTACTTTTTTCTTCACTAAATGTCTGTTACTAGTTACCTACACAATAAAGTTTCTAAAATGTGATGTTTTGTTATAGATTAAACTACCTAACAACAATAAATAAAGTAGTTTAATATCTCCACCTACAATTATACATCATAAAATCTTACACATTTATGCCTCAGTAAAAAAAAATCTAATTTTTTGAAAAATATAATAATACTGCATAATAATACGCATAAGTACGTTTTGCAGATAAGACTTCTGTATTTTTACTTGGGTAAGATCTTGAATTCAGGAAATTTATTTGTAATGGTATTTTACACTGCATTGCCACTACTTTAACTTCAGTAAAGGATCTGAATACTTCTTTCATTATTTATTTCTTTTCTGACAGATGGGTTTAAAGGTTAGACTCTTGCCATCAAGTACAGTTGAGACAAGCTCTTTGTTACAAATCCTTAAATGTATTCATTATGACTGTAAAGACAGTCAGCTAACATATCCTCATATAGCGCCACTTTGATTGATGTTAAATAATGTGTAGCTCTACTCCAGTCCAATAGTGCTCCCTAGTGGTAATTTGGTGCAAGTAATAACCTATCATGAGTTGTCAAAGTGCAAAGCACAAACCATGAAATATATCCAGTAAGACATTGATATTTTAAATAATACTTACAATAACATAAATTAATGTGTATTCTTCTACATTAGCGGAAGAGTGTTACACATACATGTTAATACTGGAAAAGAAAGTCACATGTTTGTAACCTCTTTTATTTTTATTTTATTTTGGCTTCCTTTTGTTGCCACTGGACAGAACAGCCATACACAGAGATGTTGCCAGACAAACAGAAAGGCAGCCATATCTTTGGGGGAAAGGGTGGCTTATCTGCCCATTAAATTCTAATGGATTTATATCAGATGCAGCTGTCTTGGCCAGAGCCATATAAACACTCAATGCCTATTTTCAATTTCTGCACATGGCATTAAGATTTCCTGGTAATGGATTATTGAAAGGGAACAGAAACACTTCAAGAGTATTTATGTGATGTCCAGGCAAAATGACTGAAGACAAGTGGGAAACCAATTTGTAGATGACAAGGAAAGTATGAAAGTAAGAAATAAAGATTTATGGAAAAGTCTTTATTTCAACACAAAACATGACATTTACTTTTACAAAATACAACACACATTTTAAATCACTGTAGGGGATGGCATCAAATAAGAATGACATCCAAGACATTTTTAAAAGGAAGACACAAAGGGCCATTATTCCTGCCAAGAGAGAGCACAATAAAACCCTCTGCATATTATTAACATCATGTACTGTATCTATGCTAGCTCATGATTGTCTGTGGAAAAGCAATATCAAATACAAACTGACAATAAAAAAACACAAACGCAGATTGTGATATCCTTTCAAGAAGTGCATGTGTGTACTGTTTTTTGTGATTTTGAGCTTATTCTTGGTGTTTCTTCCTATTAATTCTTCCTTGTTTTTAGACCACATTAGGTTAGTGCTACTAAATTTTGCTCAGTACAAAAACATAAATTATATTGACAGGGCTTTGAAGAGTTTAGCATAAAATTTTACATTAAATCAATTTAATATATCAACATTACTCACATGGTAATACAATGGCAGAATTTGCAGAATGTATTCTGGTTATAACTGTATTAAAAAACCTCTAAATTCTTACATAACCTGTGCCAATTTGCAGACAGGACTCACCAGTAAATACTGCTTCCTAAGGACATGTATATGATTTACAACACTACCTGTTCAAAATAGTCACGAATCAAGGTTTGATAATACACACATTGCACTGGCTAATTTACATCAGTGGTTCCCAAACTGTGGGGTGCGGCCCTCTGGAGGGACGCATAGGTATTACAGGGGGCACACATTGTATAGTGAAACCACAAAAGATGAATAAATCTTTTTCACAGTGGATTATTTAGAAATGTCCAACACAGGTGTAACTAATAACAGTATTAACTGACTGTTAACTAAACCCCTTCCCCAAACAGTGATTGCACAAGCACAGTGTGGCAACTTTTACTAGGCATGGCTGAGCTGTGGAGTTTTGAATTTTGTCCACATGTTGAAGCTACGTGCATAAGGGCCATACTCCGATCTAAAACCTTTGCAAAAGCAAAAACACAGGAGTCAGATGGTAAGGACTAGCTCAGCTTACTATTATTCTACCTACAAACTACCTTATTATGTGGTATTACAGGGTGTATGGGAGCCAATTACATTTTGAGTAACATCTGTACTATAAAACCAGGGCTAACTAGCTAGCAAGCCTAGTAGGCTACTGCAATACAGGAATGCTATCTCTTTATGGAGGCTGACATTTTGCATGAGACATGCACTTTTGCCTCAGCTGGGACATGATACTTTATCTGCATCATGTATGTAGACATCATGTGCTTTTTTAAGATCCCAAATCAGCTGGAGATCTAGTTTTTTTAACCACACTCACTGAGTAAGACCCAATTAGCTAGCTAGCTCCAGTTAAAAAAGTGCTAGAGACAGTCTAATTTCAGCCAACAAAATCCAAACTCCAAACTAGGAAATAAGAAAGCCTATGAAAGGCCCATTGTTTTAAAAAATTACTAATAATTTTGAGTAGTAAATGTTTCCATTGTAAACTGCATAAATGCTTTGCCAGAAGAAAAGCCTGATAGGCGGGACTTAGCAAAAAAGAAAATGGTTGCAATTGAATAGAAAACATTGATGGAACAGAGCTATTATGCTGCATTCCAGGCATCTCGGAACTGGGAAATTTCCGACCTCCAAACTAGAAAAAGTACTATGGAAGGCCTCTTGAAGTCAGGTTTCCTACTCGTGAACTCGGAGAAAAAATATGTACCGCGACTTCACGAGTAGCAGCCGAATGACGTCACACAACAATGGCAGCTCCCATGGAAGCACACATCTAAATGGTAAATCCTAAAGTAAAAGGCAAAGTCCATCCATCCATCCATTGTCAACCGCTTATCCTGTGTACAGGGTCACGGGAGCCTATCCCAACTGACATTGGGCGAAAGGCAGGGTACACCCTGGACAGGTCACCAGTCCATCGCAGGACCACACATAGACAGACAACCACTCATGCTCACACCTAAGGACAATTTAGAGACACCAATTAACCTAGCCTGCATGTTTTTGGATGGTGGGAGGAAGCCAGAGCACCCGGAGAGAACCCACACGGACAACATGCAAACTCCACACAGAAAGGCCGGGACAACCAGGGTTTGAACTGTGAGGCGACAGTGCTAACCACTGCACCACCGCGCTGCCCTGTAAAAGGCAAAGTAAAGTATTAAATTAAAATAATACATACAAGTATCAAATAGCAAAACTTGTTTTGCATGTAAATTGATCTAGAAATATTTTGTCAATGTTATTAGGTAGCTGGACAATATCTGAAAGTCATGTTCTCTACCCAAAAGTTATTCAGGAAAATATTAAAAATGCCCCAAAATGTGAAAACATTTGGATAGATAGCCTACAACGTTTGCTGACTTTTGAGGATTACCAGCTGATGTAGCTAGAAGGATACACTGTTAACAAGTAGGCCTAACGTATATTTATCACTTGTTTTTAATAAAATGGCCATCCTTTTAATTAAAACCAAGTGCACTGCTGAGAGTTTAACTGTGCATAATCTTGCCAAAGAAACAGTTTATCACGGTCAGCCATGTTATTTTTTACATTTGGCGTCATGCACCACCATGCAACTGAAACTGAAGTCGAATATTTCAACTTGGAAATTTCCCAGTTCCGGCCGGTCTGGAACACGGTTAGTTCTACCTGTGCTTTTCCTGCTATGACAATGACAAACTGTTTGCTGTGAAAAAGGTCTATGAATCAGAATTCATGTAGGAACATTAAAGAAACAAGATGTTAGCAAGGCTACCAAGATTCAGAGATTCTTAGAAATTAAAACAACATGTAAGCAAGATAAGTAGATAGGAAAAAATTACCATTGATATCATCAACTTGTCAGTCAAATCCAAAATATTAAGAATCTTGAGGGTGAGTTCACTGTTTATATAATTGTGTCTTTTTTTGTGTAAAGTTGAATTTATGTTTTTCAGTTGAACACCACAACATAATTCAAGAAGCAAGAAGCAAATTCAAGAAAATGCAGTTTGTGTTACATTCAATATAGTTTACCTCCTTTTATTACAAGTAGTGTTACTAGTCAATAAAAACTTGGAGGAAGAGGGGACAAGTCAAGAGGGTCACAACAGGAGAAGTTTGGGAACCACTGATTTACAGTAACAATGATCTCCTTGACAGTAACATCGGACCATTATCTACTATAAATAAATAAGCATTTCATTCTATGTAAAGACGTCTATGTTATAACTTTTGTAAAGTGTCAGATTGAGCACCATGGTATCCTATATCTGAAAGGATACAAAAAACAGACGTGGATTAAAAATGTCCCCACGCTCTAAAAGGAATGATAGCGGAGGCTGTTTTATTGCCCCATTTCCTCTTAGCACTGGATATACATTTCACCGAACTTGACAAAACCTGTGAAAAATGGCATAACTAACATTGAGTCTGTCCAGATATAAAATAGGAATGTCACTGTAAAGTCTAAACACAGGAGAGGAATAGATCTGGAAGGAGACATTTTAAACAAACATTACTCACACCCACTCAGGTCCCCCCCAGCTGCAGAGCTTCAGCAGCAAGGGCAGCAAGTGAAAGAGCTTCAGCAAAAGCTCTGGGACAAATGCCTTCCAAATCATACTCAAAAAGATTTAAAATTGGGAGAAAACACCCCGGGATTTCAGATGTTTGGTTTTAAATGAGCATGTATTTCACATACGCATGTAGTACACAGTATTGGCCATTATCTTGCTTTGGCTTCTTGCCGTCTGCTGAGTGGTGAGGTAGAGAAATGACTGAATGGCAGGCCTGCTGTTAGCTGTCTTATAGTCGAGCTGACTTGGCTACATGAGAGGTCGAGGATCTCTGAGCATCATACAGGAAGCTGCCCTGAGCCTGCTAATGCACTGGAGTGTGTGTGAAAGAGTGTGTGTTTGATTCTATGTGATTAAAGTTTTTTTGCTAATGTGTGGGCATGTCAAACAGTTAATGTTAAGGTATATATATATATATATATATATATATATATGTGTGTGTGTGTGTGTGTGTGTGTGTTGGGAAGAATGTCCAGGGAGTTATGCTTCTTCGTAGGCTGAGGCCTTGTCTTTTAACAGGTCCAGACACAAGTGACAGCTCCAGCTCCCTGTGGAGAGAGAGATGGAGAAAAAGAGGCTGAAATCTTTGTCCTCCTTTCCATATATAGCCTTTGCTTGTAGCTTCAAATATACAGCACATGACATATATACTATCACACCCTCTGATAATGGAATAAACCGATGAGAGTGGCTGTTATACCTTCTGGAGGCTGGGTCATTGGAGGCTTCAGGCAGTACATGTGGTATCCTCTGTCACAGTCATCACAGAACAGCAGCTGGTCCTACATCAGCAGCACAAAGTCAACATCTTATATATATAATATCTATAAAATATGTAGTGGGCAAAAATATCAATCTGAACGCTGAAGTAAGGAAGTGATTTTTTGTGTGACTAGCTCATGAATTTATGATAATTTACATATTTTCTCCAAAAGAGCAGCACATTTATTTTTCACTCTTAGAGAACATATTACGGAGTCAGCCACTGATGTAAAATATCACATCACAGCAGGGGTGATTAATCAAGTAAAATATCTGTGTTGGCAAGTATAGTAAGTTCAGTTTAATGTGTTGCATATGACTGTGGAAAGGTCACAACATTAAAAGGAATTCAAGTCAAATTTGGTGCACCTCAAAGAAAATTCAAATTCAAATAGCATTCAAATAGCATTCAAACACTGACATTTTTGGAGGATCTTCCCTCTCCCACAGTATACATACATCATTCTCTGAGGTGCCACAGACGCTGCAAGACTTGCACTCTATGCACTGCCACTGGTACGTCCTCACTGCCTGCATCATGTTGTCAGTGAACTGCAGACATGTTGGGTGACCTGGAGAGGGACGAGAAAAGTGAAGAAGAGGTGACAGAGTGGATTGCCAGAAGAATTTCCAAAGCAAAGTTAGCAGTGTTTTCTGATGTAACAGTTTAGAGACACGTGGCAGAAGCTCTGAGTTGGCGCTGACAGCAGATGCAGACAAAGACTGACACGTGTATTTACGTAATCCGTAAAAAGATGACTTACATTATCTGCAGCTGTATCTGATTGCACAAGTGCTTGCTTCAGGCTTTGATGTGCAGCAATGATGTATTTTTCTATGTTAATGATAGATTAATACCAGTATTTACACTGCTCAGATTTTGTAGTTCAGCTGCACTGCAACATTGCAACTTGAAGTCATTTTTGATGCTGTAGATTAAAAATGGTAATCTGGTGTAACAATAGGTTTAAATTGTTTTAAAGAAAATGTTTTGCCCTGGTTGAGATGCATCCATTTAGACAACATTATGTCTCCCTTCAAAATAAGATTGCCGAGTCTTTGAGCCACCGGTAGGTGTTTACTTGTCTGTCATTCAGACAACTGTAATTGCACCCCATATTGTTGACAGTCCATAGAGCTGGACGGAAAAGTAGCATCAAAAGCAATCTGGCCACAAAAGACAAGTGATTTTATATCTGGAAAGCGAAACACAAGCAGTTATGTGTGCACAGGAAAACACATTGTTATCATCTTCCCATGAACCTACAGCTGTGACAACACAAAAAGAATGGTATGTGGTATATATAAAATTGTCATCTTGTTCCCTGACTTAATAACTGTCTTTTATAGCCTCCCCATAGCTTCACAGTGCTGTCTGCATCTCATCTTGCACACAGTTATCTGCATCACCCTGGTATCAACGGGGTGTCAATGAGCCATGAATGAGCCATAATCAAGGATGAAGTGATTTATATCTGGACTGGGAAAGCAGCCAGAAACATTGAAAACATTCCCTATCAGCCTGCGATGGGTGAACAAAGAGAAACGTGAACTGAATAACTTTTCAGACAGAAATGTTAAAGCTGCTGCCTTCCTTTCAAAATTAAATGGAGGAATTACAGTTGGGGAGAAATTAACTGTGGCAGTTTAAATCATCTTAAATGGATACCACTTTGGAGAAAAGGTATTACGCATCAGTACTGCTACTGATGAAACAAAATATCTAGTCCTTAAAGACAGAGAGGAGCAATGGAGTGCCGATTGGCTCTTACCTCTCCGCTACATGTCCTCTTTAGCCAATGGAGTGACTCAAGAGTCCACGTTCATCCCTCCCCCTGCCACATTTGCGGCCACTCATGTAATTAATTCCTTTTTCTCTGGTCCATCGTGTCTGCTATTAACCTTTTTGGTCCAGAACTAATTAAGATGTAGCCACGAAGTTTAGTCTATGATCTTGATTATCTCATGCAAGCAAAGTCGTATGTAAGGACATTATTGTTTGTTTATGAAAAATGGAAAATGTGTTAATGTGTTGGACAGTAAAATCCACATGAGCATGGTTTAAAAAAAGCCTTTGTATCCACCTGGGACAACATTTCCAAGAAAAAGATGGCGTTAAATGTCTTTTGGAAAGAATTCATGTCCTTCATACTCTCTCAGAAAAGTTCAAAATAAATCTGTATATTTTTCTGGTAGGAGTGCCTTCAAGGGGAGCCACTGTACAACATTCTGCGCCTTCAAAGACTTTCAGTGTTCCCTTAATGAAAACATTTCATGAAAAAAGTCATTACTGCCACAAGGTCCGGCTTGAAGTCCCGTTATCAGCTGTCAGCCACAGCATCATCATCGTCTGAAAACAAAATGTCTTGCAGCTCGGCGTCTTCAAAGCCATGAAATGTAGAGGCCTCGCTGTCTGATGCCGCGTTGTCAAACAATTCTTCTAGAGCACTCAGCTTCCTCCCATCCTTCTTCCCTCCTCCTCTTCCAGCTACCATGAAAACATCAGCGTCAGAGCACAGACAAGGCCACATACTCTCGCAACTGTTCTAACAAAGTCTAGGGTAGCAAGAAAACACCTGACTTGCTGAAATGAAAACTCTGCTCTCTTACTGAACAAAACGGTTTGAGCTGATTCAAGAAAGGTTTTGCCCGTGATAAGGGAGGGGGGTAAGAAACAAAAATGCAGCCAAATGTGCCATAAGATAATGCATGAAAACTGAGCAACAAAAGAGTGAATGCATGTCGTCTATAGGCAGAAGTCCTTACAGATGGACGAGGCTGACATGGTGAAGCATGCATGATGGAAGCAAGCAGCGGGGCCTATGAATCAGTATTTTTTACAAGGGAAATTGTAAGCTTTTCCTGCAATTGGTTCTCACTTTTAATGGTCTACAAGGCTCATTGACAACCCACTGAAAAGACACTGTAGCAACATGAAAGCTCAATTCACTGCACGCCATAACCGGTTCTTTATCAAGTAAAGACACAGGTTAGTTTGAACAAAGATGACTTGGAACAACAGCTGAGGCTGTCCTTTGTATTTTAGTGATTTTTCACAAACTAAAAGGATCTGTGTGAACATTACTGTAAACTTTGTATTAATAGTAGCTTCTGAAGAGATCCCCCAAATAAATTACAATTAATCTAAATAGATATTTGATGCATAATGTAAGACTTCATCACATTTGTGGCCATTAGGGAAGAACCTTTTTAGTTCATGTATCAAAAATAAACATCGCAAGAAAGCGAGGAATAGACATGAACAAGATTGTGGATAAAAAGGAAGTAAAAGGAAATAAAAATGAGATGTGTAGTAGACACAAATTAAAGTGTGAAACTAGCAAACAACTAATTTCTGAAAATCTCAATAATTTCCCAAAGAAACATTTTACACCTATTCATTATCCTGCTGAAATTTAGAGGAGAAGATTGATACAACTCACAGGTGGGTTAAATATGAAGCTACAGCCAGCAGACCGTTCCCTTAGCTTAGCTTAGCTTAAACAGTGGGAACAGGGTGAAACAGCTAGACTGGCTCTGTCCAAAGGTACAGCACCTCTGAAGTTCACTAATATGTACAATGTTACATCTTGTTTATTTAAGCTGTACAAAAACCACATAGTGACAACAAGACTCCAGGAAGTCACTGCGCCTGGCCAAGACATAGTCCAGTGCAAAACAACTAAACAAAAATTACATAACTATTTAGTGAGATGCAGAAGTGTTTTTAGGCGGCTTGTTACCCCTGAACAGAACCAGGCTAGCTGTTTACCCCTGGTTCCAGTCTTTATGCTAAGCTAAACTAACTCCCTGCTGTCTGTAGCTTCATATTTATCCTACAGACATTAGAGTGTTATCAATCTTCTCATTTCATTCTTGGCAGGAAAGTATCTTTCCCAAAATGTCAAACTATAACGCTTGATTAGAGTGGGATAAGTAGTAGCTTTTGCTCGTACGACATTTTTAAAGTGCACTAATTTAATTGGCAGGAAAACAAAGCAAATACTTGTGGTCTACGTTAATGCTGACGTCAGCAAAGAACCTAAAGCCTTAATGGAAACCCTCCATGTTGTGGAGACTGGGAACTCACCGGAGCGTCCACAGTCAGAGCAGGACACCAGCTCCTCAGCCTGGCCTGTCTTCCTGTTTGAGTCCTGGTCTCCCAGGCAGAAGTCACAGTAGTCGTTGGGGATGATGGTACCGTCTGGGCCCTTTTGAGCTGTCAGCAGGAACAGACACATGTAAACAGAAAGACACGTGAGCTGCCACTCATTTTCTGAAGGCTTAAAAACCATCTGGGTTATCACAAACTGTGACTTGGAACATTTCATGCTTATGAGTGTGTGATGAGGAGTTTCTATCAGGAAAAGCATTAGGACATTTCTAGCAGTTACTGAAACCTTCTGTTGCTTCTATGTAATTACATCCTAGCCAGCATCTTACGTTTGTGGTTGTCCAAGCTACGCGGAGGAGATGGGCTCATCTCTGTTTCCTTCTCCTCCTCGCCCTCCTCCTCTGCCAAGTGAGTGTGGGCGTAGTGGTAACTCAGGCCAGGACGGTTCTTGTAACGCTTTCCACAGACTACAGATAAAACATCAAAAGTCCATTAGACACACGTAAAACCTTGTGCGGCGCACTGCACAGTCTGGCTTAACATGAACTGTTACACATTTCTAAAATTGGAATATAACATATTTTTATGGAAGGCGTCTGAGACAATTTGCAGGATTTTCAACTCACTGTCAGTATTTTTATGTTTGATGGTTTATCACTCTGCTAAATCAAAATCATATGTGCTGCAGAAAACAGACTCTTCCAATACATCTCCCCATGCTGCCATATGGACAATTTGTTCCACGAAAAAAGTGTATGCTTTGCTTTAGACTTAAATCTATGGCAAAAGTCAGGGACATACATAAATATGTTCACTTTTTTTACCATAACAACCTCAAAGGTGATGTCACTATTAGTTTAAGAAAGTGTTGTTGCGAGGATTTATTATTGCTTCTGACACGGCGAGAAAGAGGCTTATTAGTTATTTAATGCCACGCTTTTATAAAAAAAATCAGGCAATTATTTTATATGAAACACCATAGCTTTATTGATGAAAATTTTACAAGGAAGTCTAGTGAATAGATATTTAGACAGGACAACCATCCAGTATCTGTCTACAACTGTTTTAAAAATAAGATTATTATGAGCAAACCAACACAAGGTTTGAGCTTGACAGGCACATTTTTACCCTGCTGTTGCTGTACTGTAGGCATGGAAGTCACAATCTTAATATATAAAATCAGGATTGGTAAGGAAGCATTTTGTGTATGAAACTTAGGATCTATAGTCTACTACTGTAGTAGTTCTTGGGGTTATTTAAAGCTTAATGAGCACATTAGAGCAGTAGTCATCATAGAAGTGTCTTATTCAAGCTTCACTGTCTGTCTGTGAACTCCTCATCAATCCAATCCCAGGGTTAAAAACTGAAAAATTCAAAGAATTCCTCTGAGTGTAAACACTTCTACAATGGCTACATCTGTGGATCACATCACAGCTTGTGTGGCCTTAAGAAACATGCATCCCTCGGTGCGACATTAGTTGAGCTGCTGCTTAAGCATCATTTGGTGCATGCCTTGCAATAAGCAAGCATTAAGGCACAAGGCGTAGTGTTAGTGTCATGCAATGCTTGCACTGAATTTAGGAGCGGGTGTCTGGACTAGCATAAAGCAATTAAAGCATTAGATATTTCCAAAGCATCAGTATTCAGTCAGCCACTCCCACGCCAGATGCCCATGAGCAAAAAGGCACTAGAAAGACAAGATGGAGACAGGTTCAGATACCTTCTTCAGCCTTTTTTGAGTTATGCTTTTGTTTGTATCTATCTGGAACAGAGAAGACACAAAAGCAAATAATAAAGGAAAGACAGAACAAGACACAAAATGAGGATGAGATTTGTTTGTTTGAGCGGGGCTATCTCTGTTCACAACCCCATGGCAATCCATTCCTGGGGGGTTCTGCCCAAATACGTAAGTGGCATGCTAGTCGGGTCTGGATTCACAGCAAACTCTTTCTTCATGCTGCAGAGGACTGCTCTTAGAACAGAAGGAGACTTCAAAGATGAGAGAAAATGTATTTTCTGCTAGATTTGTCCCTGTTTATTAAACATATAGTGCAGCCTGAGACTTTGGCGCAGGCACGTAGAGCAAGGTTTCCTAACAATAGGAATTAACTAACTAGCCAGGATCTAAGGACAAAAGCTCCACTCCCTCGAGCTTTAGGAAGCACTGTGATTGTGGATTTATTTATACTAACATGTAAACCAAAAACCAATGACAGTGATCTCATGATGTCACACAAAGAATGAAGTTTTCTTTTCCCTTACTGTCACAGACGTAGGGTTTGTCCTGGTCATCCGTGTTAACGGGCTCTGTCCTTCTGCGACTGGATCCTCTGTTCTGAAATGAAACACAACAGGCGTCTGACATTTAAACCTCTGATGTATGAATATTTCAACTCAAATTTGGGATATTTAAGATTTAATTCCAAACAGCACACTGCAGACCCATACATTTTTATATGTATTTTAACATGCCATTAATTAATACATTTCGAAAACAAGGTTTGTTGGGAAGCAAAGACCTTAAGATGTGGCTCAAGTTTAAGAGAAGCATGCTGTAGAAATAAGTGTTGCACTAGATTTTGTATTGATGAAACAGTGTTACTATTCACACACACAAATAGGTATGTGCGTGCACACACTAACTTTGCCTCTGTTTCTGTTCTTTCTCTTTGGAATATCCATTTCAAAGTCTTCATCATCATGGAAACCGTCCCCATTTTCATCCGCCTCCAGAACTCTCTACAGAGCACACAATTACAGAAACAGTGAGGGTCAGAGGGGAGGGAGAAGAGTAAAACAAGGAATATTTTGATCATTTCACACCTCTAAGTTGCAAGCTCTTGTTTGCAATACCAACCTTTGCTCGCAGAACAACAGACAGACTTTATATTTGTTATACAATAGAGAATTTAAGATACTGTACATAATGCACAAATAATAAAATACCTGTATTTCCAGCATCGTCTCCTCTTCCTTACAGAGGTTGTTTTTTTTCTCCAGCAGGTTGTCCGCCCTAAGGAGGGCCTCCAAGGCTGTGGCCTCCGCCGGGGGAACCTCATGCTTTGGGGCCAGCTCGGCTTCTGTGGAGGTACAATAAGAGACAATAAAGAGCATTTGAGATGGCAGATGGTGTGCGTGCATGTTTTTTCTAAAAGTTTGTTGACCATGTTAAACACAAAAGTTAAACAAATTACATTTCCTCTACTGGCTCTTTGCTGGCCACTTTAGTAACCAGCTTTATGTCTGATCACATGATCAGAATTTTCAAAGTTATCATATTTAGAAAGCACTTTCAAAAAGCCCAGTTTTGAATGAACAACTAGTGCTAGTTTAGCATTGATGGAAGGCAAAAGCATCAGTATCAATGTGGACATTGTGTAAGTGTTCCCTCTGCATTGGACGTAAAGGCCGTTTTAACAGTTGTATGGCGGGCTGCCAGATTCAACATCAATAAAAAACTAAGGTGCACAGTAAGGGAAGATGAAATAATGAACCGAAACAAAAAAAACCCCATTGCTCATAGGCCTAACTTATATCTCCTGTATCTCACTCTCTCTTTATCACTTCGACTTTATCTTTCTTCCTCTCCCTCTTTTCATTTCCGTGGAGCTGAACTTGCTGCAGCGTAGACTCTCTGTCCTCGTCTTTGAACTCTGATGTCAGGATGAAAACAGAATGAAAGTAGGGATTTATAAGAGAGACAGGGAGCGAGCAGGTCTACAGATTCTTTAAGATGTTCTTATTGAATACTGAGCTGCTGTTTGTCTGTTGCTCCTACTTCCCTCCCCTTCCTCTTGTTTCCATTTGTGCAGGCTGACTTTGAACTGGCAACTGACAAGACATTTCCTCCGTCATCACTCTGTAACCCTCATCACAGATCCTAAACCTGCCCCACAACCCTCCTCCTATACCTCTGTTCTCTGCTGATCCCCTCCCTCCTCTTCTATGCTAAACCACTCCTTCATTTGATTTCCTCTCCCCCATTTTCTTTGCCCTCACCCATCTTCCTCCCCTTCTATAACCTCCTCACTCCTTCCTTGACTCTCCAGGACAAACATGAAGAAGAGAAAGAGGATACTACTGCTAAACTTAAAGGGACACTCCATGAATTTCACTTTACATGTCGGGAGAAGTTTGAAAAATGAACCCTGATGATGTCAAATTTTATAACAGAAAGCCTGTGTTTCTGTAGGTATGGGGGTTGAAAGAAGTGGGCCTTTTTTGGAGACAGGGGGTCTAATGAAATAGGCTATTGGGTTGCATTATGGGAAATGTAGGATCCAGAATTTTTAGAGCTTGACCCATACTAGGGACTAAAAATCAGGATAGAACTTTTTGGAAGTGCAAAACTGAATCACTGAAGTGTCCCCCTAATTTTGATTGGCCAATGCCATTACACCCCTGATAGTACACAACAAAGATGGGTAAGAAACCGTCTACTCAAGGTGAACATGAGAAAAAAGAGAACTTAAACTGCATGCTCACTGCATCTGTACATCTTAAAAAAGAATGTCGTAGTATAGTAAAACACCTTCATCAGATTCAACAGTTTTTATACCGAGTTTATACTGGGGGATGCAAAATAGCTGGTGAGGTATGGCCACTAACATGTTGAGCTGTGACATGAAGAAAAAGCAGAAGATCAAAACAAGGAATTCAATTCTGGTATCAAAGGATTTCAAAGTAACCTCGTGACAGAGCCCCTGTGTATCTTCACACACAGAGACAAACCTCAGGAAGCATTAAATAAACATAAAGCATTTCCAAATGCCTGGAAGGGGAGCACTTGCATTCCTCTGTCGTGTTATGATAGATATCTGGGCCAAAATACAGAACTGGATCTCTAAAAAACAAAAGTGGAGACTTGTACTCTTTCACCCTCAGCTACAAAGCCTTTCCTGCTCCTGGTAACAACCGTGTCTCGCTAGTTTCCTTTCCCTTCACATGCTCTGGTTGGTTGATTGGTTGGTTGGTTGCTGCCCCCCCCCCCCGAAAATGACTCTGCTTAAAGCTGAATCGCTCTTGGTAGAAGACTCTGGAGTATTAGATTGCGGCTGGACGACAGCGAGAGGGAAACAATGGTGTAGCAAAGCCGAAACAAAGACTTGCCTTTATTTCTACCCCCTTATCAAGTTCCTAGGGCATTCCTTTGCTAAAATCCCCTATAACACACACATATGCATGCATGGATGAATACACACACATACACACACACAAAAGCACACACTTCCATCTCATAAGACTCACTTGCATTAATGCCTCATGGACAAATGATTATAGAGGCCCAGTTAGGGTGCTTCTGTGCTGCAACAGAGAGCGAGAGTCATGTGCGGGGGTGTTTGTGCGCTTATGTATGCGTGTGTGTGTATGTGCGTGTGTGTCTACTGCCAGAGAACAGAGAGAGGAGGCATTGATTCGGGGAAGAGAATGAACCTGGAGACCTGGCGAGAGAGACAGGCTAACCAGAGCCAGATGGTCAGATAGCGAACATTAACGCCACTCAGCACGCCTGAAGCTCTGTGCACAGAGGGCATAAACACAATGTACGTGTGCTTTTATTTGAACATAGTGTGAACACAGAAATGAGTACCAGTTAAAGTGGCTTTCATTGTATGACTCTGGGTCGATACTGCTGTGCTCAAGCCATTCAAATCAATGCGCTGCGTGTGTGTGTTTGCCTAACCTAGTCGAAGCTCACACAGGCGGAGCTGGGGATCCAGGGGTGGGTGGAGTCGCCTCTTCTTTCTCCAGCAACGAGCAGGGTAGGTATACATCTGTCCAGCCGCCTGACCTGGACACACACACAAACATATTCATATTTACAGATGTACACACATGCAGAGACACAGGCACACAGGAAGAATTTTAACAACCACTGACAAGCTTAAAATTTTAACAAAATGTGCATTGAGCCCCCAACACACACATACGCACACATAGTGGACTGGTCTTGGTTTCCTGACACTTAATATGTCTTGCTTTCAGTGCTCGGTGTAATGGTCCATGTATTCAGAAGGAAAAAAAAATCCTGCCATTATGGTCAGATTCCAGAAACTGTTTGTCACAAAAGCCTGAAATTTTGTCGACCGTGTTGTGGATGCTTTATCAGACATATCCGTGTAGAAATGTTACTTGATGTTGAGGACAGTTATATTCAGCTTTACTCCGATTAACAATTTAACTAACTTTGCTTTGTCATTATTTCAGCGAAGAACACTTAGAGAATATTTTGGTCTCTGCCCTCGTGTCTAATCATATTCCGCCATTAGCTTAGCAGAAGGCTGGGATGGATGGAAAGAAGCGTAATATTCCATCAACATGAGCGGAGACAAAAAATCAAGAGAAGGAGGAGGGGAGGGACAAATCCAGAATAAATGCATATAATGTGACTAAGGTCTGCCACAAAGTATAGGGTGTGGCCTGAAGGGCTTTGCATACAAGATGGAGTGCAGGCTATTTGTGGCCAGCTCTCAGTAAAGAGCAGATTGTTCCCTTTGGCTTTACAGGCGACCCAGATGTGCATAAAGCATTCTGACTGCTCATCTCAGGATAAATCAGCAAGTGGTAACTAAAATATATAAAAGAGGGGCTGGCTTGCTTTTTTATTGAGGGAGGAGATTTATAGGTCCTTTTTTATCAATCCATATTTATGCATTTGTGCTTATTTGGTTTCCTGCTGAGAGCTAGATATAAGGACTATATCCAGCTCTCAGCATAAGGACTGGAAGCAGCTGGAATCAGCTAGCCCAGCTCTGTCCCAAGGTAACAAAATCTACCTACTGGCATCTCTAAAGCTCGGTTAATTAACATGTTAGATTTCACAGTGACCTCATGGAGTCTAAATTGTTTGCCTGACAATCATCGTCTCCAAGACTCTGGGAAATTACTGTAAGTATTATGGCACATAACCCCTCTGTAAAACTAGACCTTTATGTTTTAACAGTACGTTCAGTTTTTGGAATGGTACATATAATATGGACCAAAAAGTGTCTGTTAAGATTCTCAGTCATCCAGGTCATAGTTATCCAACGAAGGTTAAAGCCAACGAAGTCCAACCTTCGTTGGATGGACCAAAAAACAGATCTACAGCACTTAGAACATAGAAAGCCATATCAGTAGCATGGATTTGTTCAGTAGATCAGATGGTGCCTCCCACCTGGCTGGCGGTGGCGCTTTTCCATCCAGATGTAGCAGTTGTTCTGTGCCACACCAGTTTGCGAGTCCAGGAATGGCATGCGCACGCTGCGTTCGGCACAGAGGCGGGCATTGTAGCTGCGACAGTGTTCGATAGCCTCCCTATAGAACTGGTCCCCGAGCCTGAAAACCGACAGACAGTCAGAGAAATTGGCAGGAAACAGTCAGATAGACAGAGAAGAAACAAAGACATACATCAGTTGTGATTTATTGAATGTAAAGCATTAGGCTCATTATTGTTCAGTTCTACAACAAATGCTCCACTCATTCAAAAAAACATCTCTTTGTGGAACTCAAGTTACCCACAAGTAGCATTAGTCCTATTTCTGACATTGATCCAAGCTATTTGAAGCACGCTGCTTCAATTTCTGTTTTCTGTGCACTGAGTCATCCCTGCCGTTTAAGTCCTATCAGCTAAACGCTAACATTTTTTGGATGGTTAATGGCAATAACACGTGTTGGGTGGCTGATGATTTGGTACGGTCTGCATATTAAGTATCTGTTCAGTCCAGGCTAGCCCATACTCCTCTTCACATTTTGGCCCAGTTTGTTGTGTAAAGTCTGGCTTTGCTGCGTAGGCTACATCAGATGAAACATGAAGACAGCTGACCATCTACACAGGCTGAGCACAATAAGGGAACCACGATGAACCATAAGAGTAGAAGAAATTGTTTCATCCTGTCCAATTGATAAATAAGCCAGAGTGTCGTACTGAACTCCACATAACATATGGGCTACACACACACACACACACACACACACACACACACACTATCGGCTGGAGGGTATCAATCAGGATGTGAGCCATCGATAATCTCCACAGTCTCTGTCTAGAAGCACAATGTCTGCAGCTAAGATCATTAGAGACAGATAGAAAAAACCAAGATGACTCAACAGTACAACAGACAGTCATCCAGTCTCTCTGACTGGCTGAGCAGAGATAGGCGCTTTGTGGACTCTCTACACAGATATGTAAAGAATGCCCAGCTGGACAAAGACCAGCACTCTGGTCACACTGAATATCACAAAGATGTGCAGTGTGCAGTGCGGAGGAAGAGGGTGGGAGGGGGTGTTGCATTTACAAATGAAGGAGAAAGGAGAGAGAGTTCAGGAGACGAGACAGGTATGAAGAAGGTAACTGAGTACAGATGAAGGTTCATATCTCACAGCTGTGTTATAGCATCTTCTTCACACTAAAATGTGAATTACACCTCAAAGCTGGCTACTGCCGCATCTGGACAAAGATCAGAAATGAATGGGAGATTTGCTGGTATTCTGTGCTGTACCATAAATATTATTGCTTTTTCCTCAGAGGACAGCAGCTGACCAAAATGAACCCTGACAAGAGGAAAGGCAACAAACTAATTGCATACAGAAACAAAAACAAAAAAATATATTCTTTGATGGAAAAAACTTAAATTATTCTACACCTTATTTAAGTGTGGCTGTGACTAATATATGCTCATCACATGTGATTTTGTACGGATAAAAAAAACAATACAAGATATAACATTTTAATTAGTGAGATTTATTTTTTTACCTTTGAAAAGAGACATGCTGGCAGTTTCCCCCTCATTGCAGTCTTAATGCTATGCTAAGCTAACCATCTCCTGGCTCCAGCTTAATACTTGCCATACAGATAATGTATGATCGTACATAGGTGTCATTTACACTGGGGACGCTGAGGACATGTCCCCATCACTTTTTTAGCGGCATTTGTTAAAAATGTTCTGAAACAAGAAATGTTAACTAACAAATGATGGTATTGATGATCAAATGACCCAGTTTTTTTTTATTTTCTCCCTGTAACCAGTTTAAAAAAAGGAGTGAAGACTAAATTTTCTGTTTCCCTTTATATAAATAAATACATTTCCATCATAAATTAGTGCAGACATTTTCACCAGAATGCAGGAAATTAAGTGTTTAATGCTCAACATTGTGTCTCATCACGCCCTTATGTCCCCACCTAAAGTGACGCCCTTATCATCGCAGTATCTATCTTCTCTTCTGACATGCAAGAAGGCAGAAAAGCCTGTTTCCTAAAATGTATTATTACTTTATGGCATAGATGTCTTTCTCTCACTCAAATACCATTTTTGAGAGGTTTAGCAGAGAAATTAGCGCTAGTGACGTACACCAGTGTGGAGGCAGTTGAACCAGTAGCACAGCAAATATGCAAGAAGTCAAACCTTTACATTGGCTCTGCGTGCACCTTCAGTGCCAGTGTGTGTGCAGTGTGACAACTGGGCTCAAACACATGTGGCGGTTTGCAGGCTGAGGTTTTTGTCAAGAGACCCACAGAGATGAGGAATGCAGCTGGTGTTTATTGCGTTTTTACAGTATGACACAGTGATCCAGACAAATCCGAATCATCAGAAGAGACTTCCTGTCACATAACTCACATTCCCAGAGGTAAAGCGTTGGCTCTGCTTTCACTATGTGTTGCCTGAAATGAATGTGTGTGTGTGTGTGTGGACCTACAGGCATTTCTCCTCATCTGTCTTCCCCACTCTTCTTCCTCCCTGTGTCATCCCAGATTGCCTGTACGTTTCTGTCCTATTTCAAACAACAAAGCGTCTGTATAATGTCCCCGGACAGGCTTCATAAACTCTTACATAAGCCGAAGTGTGCCTGCTGTGCAGTTGTTTGAGAAGTGTGTTCATGTGTTTGTTTAAGTGAGAGTCAAGAGTGTGGATATGTGTGTGTATGCCTCCAAGACCATCTGTCTATCGGTCTACATGTCCTGAGAGATCCTCCCCCACCCTCCAAACCTGGTTCAACCATCAGAGATTGTACTGTGCTCCTGTTTGCACCCATTAGTCGACTTCTATGATTCTTCTTCTGATCCTGGCGATGGGGCTTATGTAAGTTGAGTTTTGCATGTCGGGGAACGCATTCCTCTTGGTCAACAGCTTCCTGGATACTGATGGAATCTGCAGTTGCAGTGTGTGTGTGTGTGTGTGTGTGTGTGTGTGTTTGTGTCTGCATATACCACTGTGACTGTCTCAGTTGCTCCCATACTAGCACAGAGGAGCTTTGTGTGTGTGACGGTCAATCTTTTCACTGCCAAGTATAGAAGCGGTGATGGGCCGAGCGCCATTTCATCAGTTTCATCAATGATAAACGTTCACTGGTCGATGTTTCCAGGTAAAAAGCTCATCGAGACAGAGCTTATGGGAATTATAAATATTGAAACTTACACTTAATCCTTAGCCAAAGGGGAGAGGTAGCTCTGTAAATCGGCCTTTCAGCCTGGATGTCACTCCTCTCCATCAATCTTAATGTTATCTACCACCTATTTCTGTCAGTTATGTATTGCTCGCAGAACACTCTGTTCCTCCCTGCTAAATAGAATAATTAATCACTGAAAGAACTCATCGGTGGTTTAATAAATCACTGTCGTACTTCTCTCCACATTCGTGTTCATTAGTCTGCAATCTCGTCTACCCTGTTTCCTTCCCGTTTCAACAAGTACAGAAACGTTTAATGTGACACATCTTAGTTGCCTTCACTGCTTCCAGCTTCTCTGCTTTAATCTTTTCGCTATCATCAGACCATTTTGTGTTTTTTAAGGCTGTAGGTCAGATTGAACCAGCAATTTCATTGTGTCACCTTGAGCTCTGAGAAATTATAATTTGTAATTCTTCAGTTAATTCAGAAAATACTTATTTACTTCACAATGAAAATAACTGTTAGTTGAAATTCTATTTAATTTTGAATTTTATTCTTATTATCAACCGTATCATGATTGTTGTTTTTCTTTACTGGGTTAAAGAAAAAAACAAAACAAAAAAAATAACACCTTTGTCAATCATTTTAATGAGCTCTCTGCTTTGAAGCAGCATCTCGGCTAATGGCGTAGGTTATGGGGTCCATGAGACCACCAGAGAAAGACAGACAAGTGATGCACAACTGTAGAATTAAAAACATATTCTATTTTTCTTTTTCTTTTTTTATTATAAGGTGAACTGTACAATTTAATGATTAAGACGTTTAGGTGTTGTGATCATCTTGGAAGAGAAGCCGAGTTGAAATATTGCTCTGTCTTTATAACGCTTAGCGTTTGAAAGAAATGCTATATTTTATAACAGTAGTGCTTCTGTGTCCTTCAATATCTTTTCAATGTCTTTCACTAAAATCAGTTTGTGCCACTCCAACAAGGCAGCTGTTTTTGGAGTCATACAGACATCCCGGGTAAAAACTGATCACCTCAATGTTATTTTATTCAAGTTAATTAACTTTATATATTTTACTATTAATGCTTTCATCATGTCTTCTGATTAATGACTTTACAAACTTTTTAGATAAACGATATATAATTTAGAAACTGAGCACACTCAGACGTCAGAAGACACAGAGATGCGGTTGTTGTATGTGGTGCTTTATTCAAGATTTAAAAGAAGATAACTTTTGATCCAGATTCATTCATTCTAAAATTGTAGTAACCGTTCTTAGAGTAGTACTAATAGTATTGTATTGTATTTAGTGGTAATTATACTGTCAGTCAGGATCGTTTTTGTACTTGTGTTTTTGCACTGTTAACTCAGTTAGAAACCTAACTCTTTATCAATACAAGCCTCAGCCTGACAGATGTACCTTTCTATTAAAGGTTCCACTGGAACATATATATTAGTCTCAAAGGAAACTTAAACACAGCTAATAGTGTCAGGGAATGATGGGGGTTTACAACAAATTAGGCAACAGATAAGTGAGGAGAGAGGAAGTCCACTTTTGGCTGGGAATAGGTAAGAGGCCCCAAAGGAAGTGCAGGGCAGGGCACGAGCATGTGGGCAGTGATAGGCGTCTTTGTGGCACTATGTAGGCCGAGCAGTGGGGTGAAGCAGAGAGGAGGGAGACGAAGAAGAGAAGGAGGAGCCGAGGAGGCAGAACGGGAGGGAAGAGGAGGGGTCCGATATATCCCGGGGCACACGTGTTCCCTTTCAAACCCTGTCACACTCATTCTCTCTCAAACATGAGGATGTGTGTACGCACTCACGCACACACACACATACACAATCTTGCCCGTGCGCAAACATACAAAGGGAATGAAAGGGAAAGGTGCAGAGTGAAGTCGGAAGGGGGGGGTAGAGCAAGCAGCAAAGGAGGAAAGGGTGTTGCAAAAGGGAAACCCTGATTTAGATGCTGCTGCTGCTGTTGTTGTTTTGCTGGGGCGAGGGAGGTGTGTATGTGAGTGTGTGTGTGTGTGTGTGTGTGTGTGTGTGGAGGGGGGGGGGGGGCTGCAGGCTGGTGAGGTGAAGGAGTGGAAGCTGAAGACGTGGACTGAACGATAACTCACATCCACTCAGCATGGGATCACTGGAGGAAATCTGAGAAAATTTGTCTCCAAAGGAAAAGATACTATTTTATATGTGAAGAATAACATGCATCCACATCATCTCTGAGAAATCACACTCATACACACACACACACAAAAACACATAAAGAGAGAAAACGTGCCAGTTCCATGTGCACAGCAGGAAAAAGCAGGATCACTGCATGGAGCTTTCTATAAAAAATGTTCCTGGCCATTTAATTCCCCATGCCTGGAAACCATTCCCGGACATTCCCATTCCCCGGGCTCGGGTAGACAAAGGCCAGAGTTCTCCCCTGCACTGAGGGTGTAGTATAAATGTATGCAGTAAATGTAGCCAGACAGACAACCCCCTCACCCCCCATACCTCCATCACTCACTCATGCTCCCTCTCACGCAAATTGGGGGAGGGGCGGGCAGCTACAGAACCACCCACACACGCAACAAACACACACAATAAAAACACAACCCCACACACGTTGACTCCCCTCCACCTCCCACACACACCACCTTCTCCTTTACTTTCCCTAAATATCAGCCCACGTCCTTTCAATCTTTATGCAAACACGGCCTTGCCGTTGTCCACCTCAGCTCTTGTGTTCAGTGTAAATCCAAAATGATAAGACAGAAGGTGAAAGGACACATAATGTGCACAAAAACACATCTCTCCATGTGAACTGCGTCGCTCATTTGAATCCTTCTCATGTCAGCTCTTCATTAAGTCCCATCTCACACATCAGATCGCAATCACAAAGAAGCCTTTGTAGAATTGATAGTTTAAATAAATCGAGTAAATATGCACGGCTAAACATGACTGAAAGAGTCCGGAGAGCCAGGTGTATTTACTGCTGGCTGATGGCGGCTGTAATTCATCTTTCAGAGCTGAGCACTGGGCGAAAGGGCAGGCAAGATTATTACCACGTCCCTATGGAGTGCGTATGATTTACCAGCCACATCCTGAGGACAGACGACAAGCTTGGCCGAAATGTACACCACAACAGTATTTCCCATGGTAATAATAACTCATATGTTACTTGATATTAGCTCTTACTCACTCCTACACGGTAACTTTACATACATTTTTAGACAGTTTTTCTCTTGTATTATGGTGCGGGCTTATGTTTTGGTAGGTGGAGTCCTGCCTCCAAGCTACACATACATACATTGTTTTGCCTTTTTGCAGAAATTGGATGGGGGAGGCAGGTTCTGCCACATATATGAAGGGCAGATGGGGTTCCCTCCCGCCACCTCTCCCTCTGCCCCAGCATCAGTCTGTCTGTCTTTACGTGTACATCTCCCTCTCTCAACAGATGGAGCAAGGAGAGTAGTGGGACGCCCCTAATCTGCTGCTCTACATGCACAACTGCAGACACACACACACACACACACACACACACATATACACCTACATTCTCTACAGCCTAATCTTTTACAGCAGCTTAAAGCCTTTTTTTCAAGTGCTGTTTGTCCAGTAAGATATTTTTCAGTTGTCAACAAAGAGCGTACAAAACAAGAGCATAATGCGTTCTCACTGTACTTATTTCATCCTCCTTTCCTTTCCTCTGAGTATGATTACAGAAAATGTTATGAAGCACAAGAATGGTTGTGTAAAAAAAAAAAACTTAAGAGGATGTACAGCTGATGACTATATTTGACAGCTGATTTTATTCTCACATATGCAAATTGATACCTCACTTGTCCACGCCATCAGATCAAAGTTAGTAAAGTTAATTTTATTCCTGCCAAAACGTTCTTTGTTTCAAACATCATTATGCCCTGGTACATTGGTACTTTATGGTACATTCCACAGGACCTGTGGCAAACGTCTGCTCTGAGCCAGCAGGGAGACAGACATGCATTCAGCAATATAGACTGAGATGAAGGTTATGAGTGCATTTCATGCAGGGCAGACATAACGGGGTGTCTGTCTGCATGCCTCAAACAACAAATCTGTGCTCAATTCCATTCATATTCTATCCATTAATATTGCATTAATAACTTGGTCTGTAAAAAGTAAACTATAGTTTCTTATTTGACTATTTTTGCATATTTTTATTCCAAGGTAACATAATGTTTGCTGCTCAGTGATTAATATTTCTACAAATCCGAAATTGCTAATTCGCCGATTATTATTAGGATTAAGATCAGACAGTGATCCGTTTTAAAATCAAAAACCCGCCATAACACATTACAGGTTTCCTCTACATGCTCGATAGGAGGTTAATTTAAATACTGTATTCTAACATATAATAATGTGCTGCGCATTGTGGAAATGCATTTGACACTCGCAGCAAAAGCACGAGCATCGCAATGAGCGAGGGTCGCCCTCTCAATGTGCGCTTTGTGACATTAATTGCATGAAATTATCTATGCAAATGCTCCCATCTAGCACTGACAAAGAGCCCCCTGCATGCAAACTTCTTTCAACCGTGTTTATAAGGCAAATTGTGGACAATGGCAACTTTCTGCCTAAGTGAAACCAAGTGCATGAGAGTGAGTGTGGACATTAGCGCGCGGGGTTGGAGATGTTTTCTCTGCAGATTGTGCATGAGTGCATGCTTTCATATTAGAATTACACAACACATCAAACACGCAACGGTACCTGCAGAAAACACATGGCTACATGGCAAAAGCGTATATTTTGTGATTCTTACTTAAACGCGCGTTTAACTCTATATAAGTTACAGCAACCACGACATGCAATAAAACTATGCAATCATTTCACAACATTTTCTGAAATTTACTCACGATTTTAGAGGATTATGAATGACAGTCGCCATTTTCCTGCTGGACTGTAACGTAATATTCCAAATCTCTGTGTAGTTTGGGACCCTTGTGAAAAAAAACACAACAGCCAATGCGGTCCTGGGCACTCTGCTCCCTACCAATACAACACCAGCATCAATACATTAGGCGTGGCCTCAGAGAAATCTGTCAACATGAAGTCCTCATGGTAGTAATAATTTAATTTCCTTTTTTTTAATGAAAACGTCACAGTTTTATATACGAATATTAAACATCATTACCATGCCATCTATAGTTTTTGTTGGTTTAAGGGTTTATGGCTGTTTGGTTTGGACACTGATCCACCAGCCTGTAATACGAACATTTATTTTTAATTTATCAGAATTAAAAGGGGGTAAATGAAATGCACGTTTTAGATTGAGGAGCACATACGTTGTGTTAGTACTTTAGAGTATTTTGAATGTCCATCGTCCGTCAATCAAATGTATAATATATATGTTATGATGCCTGGCTGTGACTTCACAAAGAAAACAACCAATGAATGCCTCCAACGTCAGGCACTATTGTTAAGCCACAAGCCAATGAACGGCATTTGGAGGCGGGACAACATGGCAGGAAGGAGCGGGCTATACAGTAGTTAGCTCATGAGGTGTTAAAACTGCTACGTTACATCAGTTTAATAAGAAAAATAAGCATTGTTTGCCTTCAACGGCAGACGTGTTTATTGGCTTATTAAAACATCATTTACGTTTATTACTGGTTAATGTCCAGCATTGATATAAAGGTGTCGAGAAAGATGTGCCGCTAACGTTAGCTCAATAATGCTAATGATTGCAACTTGCTAACTTGGCTAACAAGTAAACATGCTGCATCAACTATACACATAGAGGTGACTGAAAGACAGCGTGGTGTGAGGATCCGTACTTTTGGGTCCGTACAGCACTGCAGGGATGAAGAAGTGGAACAGGCGAGAAGGACAGCGACCGCACAGGCGACAAGGTGCTGGTCAACGCCACGGCTGGTTCAGAGACAACCGGCGAAGATCAACGCAGGACGAGCAGTGGTGAGTGAAATACTGGCACACATTTTAGGTAATGCCATGTGTGTCTTAGTACTTCTCAGCGCATGCAGTGCCAACATCTGCCATTCATCCTTCGGTTAATATCGAGTGGTGCTCTGTTCACAGGTCCGATGCAGGGCCATCAATAAGAGCATCTCAGAGGAGATATGAAAACCATTCCGTCTCTTCCTCTTCCTCATCCCCCTCATCTTCATCTTCTTCCTCCTCCATGGCCAGCAGTGCTGCACCAGGTCAGTACCAGACACCAACCCTCTCCATAATTGAATATTTGTTCTCTGGAGCCGTAACATATTACAAGCACCGTTTACCTGTTAGTGAGTTAAAGCTATCAGAGTAACTGATTTCATAACTGCTGAAAACCGGTATCAGGATCCCACATGAAGTCTTTATCAGAAAGTTCAAAATCCGAGTATCCCTAGTGTATACCAGATAATCACGGAAGGAACTTGAATTGCAGGAATAAAAGAGTTTAATGCTGACTTTTACCTCCTCTTCTGTTGCCAGAGCTGCCTGGTTTCTACTTTGACCCAGAGAAAAATCGTTATTTCCGCCTGTTGCCCGGACACAACAACTGTAACCCGCTGACCAGAGAGCAGTTGCAGGAGAAAGAGAGAGAGAAAGAGAGAAACAAGATGCTGGCGGAGGATGAAAAGCCCAGAAAAGTGAGTCTGTTACAGGAATCCGTTTTTAGCCTTTAGCGTTTTAATGTTGTTTCTTGTGCTGGAAACTTTAAATGCCTAAATTGTCTTTGTCCTCAAAATAAAAGCTTATCATGGTACTCACAGACACAGAATTTGTAGACTTGTAGACTGTACTAAGGCATTTTGGCTACAGCAACTGCTGTAATGGCCTGTCAATGCTGAGTTCACCGTTGATTTTTGTTAAAGGCAAGCAGACCTGATATCTTCTGGTTAATTTCAGGAGAGATACATTTTAAATTAAACAGTGATTACAGATACATTCTTCTTTTTGCCAGCATCACAACAAAGTTTTCATTACTAAGCTGGGAATGAACCTTAGTCTCTAACACAGTGGTTCTCAACCTTTTTTGGGCCAGCGCCCCCCTATCCATTATCCAGGTCCCTTACCGCCCCCCATCAAAAAAGATGAATATTGCCCTGAATATTGTTGAAACACATAATTGAATGACAAACAACATATTCATTACTTTCCCAGGTAACAAAAAAGCCATGTGAAAAGTAATTATATTTAACTAATAAGTGAATGTTCCTCACAGAAACTGTGTGTGAAGCCAGAGACTGGTTTCTTGGATGGGGCACTTAATAAGTGGGGGTATGGGGGTCCTCCCCCAGAAGATTTTGAGCTTTAAATGCTTAATTTCCTGTGTTCTGGTGAAAATGCTCCAATTTCTGCCTTTTCTGCACCAATTTATGGTGGAAATGTCTTCTTATATCAAGGGAAACACAAAAGTCATGTGGCAGGTGACAATTCAAAATATATAATTATAATAGAATATAATGTAGTGAGGCTCTCAGACATTCTTTATTGCTTTTAAATATTTTTCTCCTGTAGATCAACTTATTTAATATCATCCCTGTTGAGTGACACATGATTAAGTCTTACATCCTCTTTTGTGGGGAAGTAACCTATTTTTGTGTTTGTGGCCCCTTTTAATCTCAGTGATAAATTAATCAGTTTTAATTCAGTTATCGACTGGACTTTATTCATCATCTTATCATAACTCAGTGTTTCCCACAGAATGACAGTGTAACTGTGGCACAGCTACAGCATGCTAGCGTTGAAAGCCCAACTGTATTCTAACATTAACTTAGCTCTCCTTATTAGCTAGGCTCCTTACATGCTTGCTAATAACTTTTTTAAAGCTGGGTCTCCGACATTGACAGCCTTGTGTTGGACTGATTTGTGCAGCTGTGTTCATGAGGGAGAGAGAGAGAGCCGAGCGAGAGGATGTGTTGCGCGAATACGTGCTGCCTGCAGCTCTGCAATCAAGTACGCCTTTTTAAATAGGCCTAGTAAAAAAAAAATCGACAATCAATATGTTGCAGTCAGCATCGATATTGTGACGGGCCGCCACAAATAAATGAACGTACGGGAGACACTGTAACTTATCTACTCACTTTCTAAACTTTCTGCACATTCAGAATCTCTCCCACTATCTGTGTTCACATGACATGTAAAGAAAAAAAGACGTATTAGGAGACTAACGTCATTAGCCTATTTAAAGAGAATTCATAATATTTTACTACATGCCCTATACTGCATTATGTTACTGATTCGCTGGAAGTATCCCCTCGACCGTCTGACAGACACAGAATTGGATGAGACGAGGAGGTGCTCATGCCGGGGGAAAACGAAACTAACCGACACCTGTGATCAGGCAGAAATCTCACGACAAATGTTAACACGTTAACTTAAGCACCTCTGATAAAGTGCCGACTACAATCCCCAACAGAGCAAGTCAGAGCTTCAGTTTTTAATGTTACAATTTTATAGCCTACTGAAACTACTGTATGTGTCCACCTTGGCACAAACTGTGACTCACAGCGCGAGATGGGTTCTCGTCACTCGCTGGTGTCGCAGCGAAGTTGCTTTCAGGGTAAGTCCGACAGCGGAAATCCCTCTTGTAAATGTGTAACCACTGCGATAACAAGACGTTCACGGTGTATTCCTCAGAGAAATAAACACTTTTCCACGGTAATACCAAGAAAGAGAGCGTCAATTTTCCAGAGTTTACACAGTAAAAGCCATGTGGGTAAGATTTTGCAGATGATACTCTGACTTCCCGCTCCCGAGAAGGCAGCACGGAGCTGCACCACAAGTAGCTGAGGGAGAAAAAATACGCCTTCTCGTCCAGTCGCAGTGGACTAAACTGGCAGGTTTTAATGTGGCAGACCACATTTTTTTAGCAAGTAGTTTAAAGTTTAAACGCGTATTGTTGTGAATCTTTGGTGTAAACTCGCCTTAGAATTTCCAACTAACAAACCCCTCCAAAATGCATTTCAGCTCCCCCTTTCCTAAATATTGCTTCCAGCGCCCCCCATCCTCCTCGGAACGCCCCCTGGGGGGCGGTACCTCCCTTGTTGAGAAACACTACACATGTACACATGCTCTGTGGGCTTGGATGGGTTCCATGCTTGTTTAACGACAGGAAGTGTGACAAAAGACAAAAGTGTCTTATCTTCTTCGTAGAAAGCACCAAGAAGAGGACTGAACACTTCACTGCTGCTTCAGAGAAGACACCTTGGCCTGTTACCTGAGAACTCATATTGCAGGTACTGTATCACACTGAATGTGTGCACATGCATACATGGACATAGCTGTTCTCCTTGTACCCTACACATTACACTGCCCACAGCTGTAACACATTATAGAAAAAAGAAACTTTAATGGTAATCAGTTCTGTATGTGTAGAGAGAGTTTTCTTTGGAGTGTTGCCGGCCTCTAATAATGATACTAATACAGTTTGACGGGGGTTTGAAAATAGTCAGAAAAAGAGAAAAAGAAACAAAAACATGCTATAATGTAGTGAAAATATCGTGCTGCCTGACAGTTTGAATGTAATTCACATGCAGGTACAAGAGATGCAAATGATTTGTATTTGTCCTATTGGCAAACATTTCTATAAATAAATAAATACACAGACACACATTGTCATGTAGCTAAGAGGAGATGAGTGAATGATTCTGGTAAAGCAGATGGAATGCAGATGGGTCTAGTCGGTGTAACCATGGTTACTGTGTGTCTCCAGGCTGGTCCATGAGGTGAAGGTCAGTGGGATGAGACGCCACAAACTAGAGATCCAGAGCACGGACAACAGCAACCCCAATACTGACAACTTCAGGCTCATAGTGGTGAGCAGTTGTAATAGACGCACTGTTCTGTGAAATCATTTTTCCTAGCGTACTTGCTGGTGTATCATCTTTAAACTCAACCCTCCCTCTTCTTCCTCGTCTCTGTCAGGGGGACTCGGCATGCGAGCGAGTGTTCACAGTCAACGATGTCTCGCACGGAGGCTGCAAGTACGGCATCATGAACTTCAGCAGCAGCAGCCGGGGATCGCTTTCTGTGGAAATGTGCGACAACCTCTATTTCACCAACCGCAAGGTGGGAGCGTTTCACAGGAGCAAACGGTTTAAAGGACACCTTTGGTTTATTATGCCTCTTTTGAACATTAAATATTTAGATGAATCTCATAAGCTAGAGGTGTCAGATACCCCTTGAATCCCCTTCAAAGCCCATTGTACATCAGTAAACATTAAAATGTAAGAAATGCTTGTGACAGCTCTGCTCTGGCTAAATGTGTTTCAGGTGAATTCCATCTGCTGGGCCTCAGTCAACTACCCAGACTCCCACGTCTTGTATCCTTTTTAAGCTTTCATAGAGCTCTTGGTCAGTCTACATGTCTTAAAACTCAAGTGCTGCTTGGACACTGCCTGCATTTACCTTGACTAAGCCGACTGTCAGACTGTGTCTGGTAGGAGTGGCAGACACACCTGGCTGCGTCAGTTTACTTCCTGCTTCCCTCTTCAGCAACTCCAACCCAGGTTGTATTGAATAAAATCTCCTCAGGTTTCTCACACAATTTAAGAAGTTCACATTACCCTCCCATATTTGATCGTTCTTAAAGGTAGATTGCAGTTACTTTGCAAGATTTGTTTGTTTATGTCCCCATTTTAACATTTCTCCTCTCTCCTCTGCCCTCCACTCTCCTCAGAGCAGCCCGGGATGCTGTGTAGTTTTAAGATATCCTCTGCCTGGTCTTGTGCTTGGTGTCTCAACCCCCAGTTTGACAAGACCTTCAGCACTGGTTTGTCCAGCCATCGTCCTTTGTCTTGTGATTCATAATCAATCATGATATTCATAATCAGATAGTCATTATCACTGGCTTCTGTCGGGTCGTAGTATTGTTGGCTTGGCTATAGTTTAGCAGCGTCAAACTGTTTTTCAAACTCTACCTGCACAGAAAAGCAAACACAGTGATGACGTCCATCTTGTAACCTAGTATCCGGTTATTGTTGTAGATAATTAAAATAAGTATACTGTAACTGTCTTGACAAGAGAGCTGGTGACTGACAGAATCTGTATTAAACGATTGTGCATACATTTCCTAACCACAAACGCAAAAATCTAAAATGATTACGTGTTCTTGTTGGCAGGCCTGTCTCGCAGGGTGATAGTGAAAGATGCAGAGACGGGACGAACGCAGACGTACAGCACTGGCAGCGACGTCTTGGCTCAGCAGTTTGCCCTTAGGGTGAGTCATCTGTTACATTTAAGTGATGTAAAGCAACTCTGATATCACTTGTAACATGCTGTAGTGTAGTATGTAGAAGAACAATGTAAGAAAGAAAAGAAGTCCACTACCTCCTTTTTTTTTGTTGCCCTAGGTCCCTGTGCTGTTTAATGGCTGCCGATCGGGGGAGATCTTTAGCATTGACCTGCGGCAGCGTGGCCGCAGGGATCAAAGCTGGAAGGCCAGCCGCTTCCATCAAGAATCAGCCATCACCTCCGTACACGTCCTGCAGGACGAGAACTACCTGCTTGCTGCTGACATGCTGGGCCAGGTCAGGTTATTGGCTTGAAAACAATGGGTGTCGTCATAAATGTCAAGTTCTAAGTTACTAGTATGTGGAATGTGTTTTGGTCCTGAGAGGAGGCTCATGTGGCAGCTACCATGTGTTTGTCATTTCAGGGCAAGCATGGTGTTGACAACCTAGTAAAACTTTGTGGTTAGAATAACACACAGCACTGTTTATTGTTTATTTGAAACTGCAGTCCAACTGCAAACTGTGAAGACCAACAAAGTGGTTAACTGTTGTTCTGTTCTACTTCACAGCCCTCAACACACAACCCATGAGCTTGTATATAATTCAGAGAAAACAATGGGATTCTTCAGAAGATAATAAAAAATATAAACCCACGTGGATGCTGTTATTGCTTGAACTTTGCATTTTTCTTCATTTATGTGCAGATTAAGCTGTGGGATGTGCGTGTGACAAAGCCAGTGCAGGAGTACAAAGGGCACTACAATGAGCATGCCTACCTCCCCATCCACGTCAATGAGCCCGAGGGGCTTTTGTTGGCAGGTAGGAGAGAACGAACACACCTGTTAAAGTATTTGGTTTTCACAACCTTCATGGTTTAACCGATCTAATCTAATAATAATAATAATGAGAGACACCAGGTTTACACCTTCTGTGCTCTGACGTACTCAGTGTAAATCAGCACGAGCTTCAAGATTGAGCCATCACACAGTTGCAGATAAAAATTCACTATGATAAGGCATTACATACAGAGAGAAGTTTGAGAGAACCAAAGCCTGCCCAAGACATCTCATTTCTTCCACACAGTGCTTTTTCTACTCTGATTGGAAAAACAAAACCTTCATTTTGCATTTCCTCCTGCTCTGTTCCTTCCACAGTTGGTCAGGATTGCTACACAAGGTTATGGAGCCTAAAAGACGGCCACCTACTGAGGACTATCCCATCACCCCACCCGGCCGCAAACGACCTGATCCCGAGTGTTGTCTTCTCCTCCAAGTTGGGTGGCTGCAGGGGGCTTCCGGGCCTACTCATGGCCGTCAAACACGACCTTTACTACTTCCCGTACAACACAGATTACCAGGAAGGAGGAGAGCAGCAGGCTGGCTTTTAGGAAAAGACTGAACATTTATCTTCTCACAAATAATTTCTTCAAACAATGACAGCATCATTTTTTTGCCAAACGTATGAATGGGGTTATATTCATATATACAAAGCATAAGTATTGTATAATTGAAGAAGTTTGGCAAGAATGCAGTTCATTTCCACATGGTTGTACTGAACGTTTGATTGGGAAGATGACCTCGGAAGAGTTGCAGTGAAATCTCAGGGGAATGTTATTTTTGACAGACTTGTTTGTGCCAACAGGAAACGCATGCCACATATGAGTCCAACAGTTACTCAAGTTAGGACAATGCTTTCTGTAACCTTTACAAAAAAAGTGCACTTACTTATGACATGATTGACTAATTTAGGATGCCTCCCATCTGAATTTGAAAGACAATACAGCACATCTACTATAAATCGACACATTTTATAATTTAAATAAATCACTAAAACACTGATCTATTGCGTTGTATTTGCTCCTAAATGACACACACAGACTTGAGTTTCTGCAGTTTAATACATACTGTATGAGCATACATGAGGATAAAGGTGTTTATTTGTTCCTTGTGATATTCATAGTCATTGAACATCTCTGAGATGAGGACAGCGGTGACATAGTTCACCGAGTCAGGTCAAAGTGTTATTTCAGCTTATTTGTAGACAACATAACCAAACCAACACTCCCAGATAGTTACTGGGAAAAAAATCCCAGGTTAACCATCACTACAGTCAGATCTCAGAAAGCCTAACTGCATCTTGTGTACAGTCTTGTTACAATAAAGGCGACTTCAAACGTTACTCTATTCCACATCCTAGTTAACTAGCTACACAGCCTGAGTCGACAGAGTAAGGAAAAAAGGATTACTCTTCTAATTATCTCCTGTTTTGAGGGGCCAGCCTCAAAGATGTTTTGAAGTCTTTCCTCTCCCATATTGCCACTGTGAGCCAGCCACTCTATAAAAGCAGTTTCTGTTGAATGCCACCCCTCTGCAATCAGATTTGTCCTGTTAAGGGACGGTAGTTTTTGACATTTAAAAACAAAACAAGGCCATTTAAAAATGTCCCTATTAAAGTAAACGTTTCCCCATGTTTGTATATTCTATGTAGAATTTGTGGACAGCTTTCTTAAGGCTGTTCTATTATTGTCTGCCCGTTCCAATGCACAAACAACCACAAAGGATTAAGGGATTATGTAAGTAGTTATTACCAAGTAATGATATACGGTGGAATGCATCTCTGTGCTACAGTACATCATTGGCTTGTGATTGTTCAAATCCTCCTGAAGCCATTACTGGACGGGTAAATCTTACAGAGCTGAAGCATATGAGAACTACTGTACATTCATTCAAACAAGCACAGCAATTAACCGAGGTGGATTATTTTTACGGTTTTCCATCATTTCCATCAAGCCAGCCCTGGATGTTATCTCCACGACTCCTACTAGAAACAATCTTAGAATAAAAGTGCTTCCCTGGAATCAGTTTAAGATGTTCAGTCAGTACTTCTATTAATAAATGGTTTACACATTGATCCCCAGACTACTAAAAGGTGCTAATAGTACTAGTGTGTCACACTGGGAAGGGATTGTCACAGGGGTCAGGGTTTCATGTGCATCAATACAGATTTTAAAGGGGTACATGGAAATTTACCTGAACTGAATTGTAAGCAAGCACATACAATACTCCCTTTCATAAAATGCTGTCAAATTGTTTTATCTCTCCTACCTTCTTGATATTCAAGTCTCACTCTGACTGGTATTTTTCAGTGTAAAAAATAGGCATATTAAAGTGAAATAGCATCAAGGGACTGAAGTGATGTGATGACAGCGGAGTCCAATCTTTTTTTTAAATCTGCCACAGATACTCTGGTGGCAGCTGACAAATGCCACTAAAAAGACGACAGGGAACTGACTCCTTTTAATTAAAATGTTGTCCATTTCAGTTTTCGCAGAGGCCGGCGTCCTTGACCCATCCTCGTCCTGCTAGAGCTCCCCAGGTTTCTGGTTGCAGCCGTTGCAGACCCTCACCGGGTGGTCCCAGCCGCGGGAGGGCACGGCGCGGCGCTCCTGGGAGCACTCATCACACACGCCCTGGCCACAGGCGCGGCAGTGGTGGATGGAGAGGCGTGGGGAGAACTCCCTCTGGCACTCGTTGCAGGAGTGGATGTCCTGGTCTGGGACCCAGTAGGCCGGGCGAGCTGCGTCCTTCACCAGGCCTGGATGAAGAGGAGAGGAGAGCAGCAGTTGTTATTGTGGCCAATGTGTCTACTGATTAGGGATGTGGAAAATAATAGATTTTTAGATGCATCGCGATGCGGATTTGTGCGATTCTGAATCGATTCACAAATGTCATTAATCGATTATCTAGAGGTTAACTGATAACGTAATGTTGACGGAACAAAAAAGGTGGAACTCGGAAATGCATATGATAGTAGTACAATAAGACAAACATGCCTGATACTTTCACAGTTAGCCCCAGGCGTACACGCTTGCAGCTATTAATGATTCAGCAGTAAGAATCACAGTCTGCATTGTATTGATAACGTAGACAGATGTAATGCTCACCGAGAGGTATGTCGATGGCACCAACTACAGCTCCTAAAGTGTTCTGAACCGCTTCCCCCACCTTCCGGGCTATCAGGGTGCTTCCCTCCTCTTCCAAGGCAGCATCCAGCAGCTCTGCGGCGTGCACACATGAATCACATCCATAACATAAAAAACAAATATTAAGGACAGCCCGAAAATGGTTTAATTCAAAATAAGGGACTAATTTGCATACCGGTTGAGATTTCCCTGTTGTGGAAGCAAGCGTCGCATACTCGGACAGGTGCGAGGCCCCAGCCCCTCTCCGGGACCGGCCGGGTTTTGGAGGAGCAGGAATCGCAGAAGCCCTCTCCACAGGCTCGACAGTGGTGCTTGGTGTCGTTGGGCTGGAACTCTTCCCCACATTTAAAGCATTTCTGCAACACACACACACACACACACACACTGAGGATTTTGAAGATGAACAGCCTGGGTATCTGCTGTATGTGTGAGCCTTGTTGGTTGGCCTGTGTAAAACATGAATGTTCCTCTTGAAAATCAAACCTTCATTTAGAAAGGTTATGTATATTGCTATCAATTGTCGAGCTGCCAGCAGATTCTACAGAAACTACCATTAAACTAAATTTTTCTATCTAAGTCTGATACTGGCATTTCTGTTTTTTATTGTTATTGTTGACGAGTCTGATCCTGCTTTGGCTACTCCTGTTTAAAGCTGTTCTTAACTTTGCTGTACTTTTCTATGCTGTGCTGTTATGCATGGTATTATTGTCTTTTAATTCTGTAAAGCACTTTGGTCAGTCAGTGGCTGCTATAAAACGTGCTATATAAATAAAATGAACTTGAACTTGAACTAAACCGTTCCAAAGGCCAAACAACTTTAGTAAAAAGGCTAGCAGGTGAACAAGGCTCTGAGTGGTGTACCAAGTTGAATTTCATGGAAATGAATGACAACATGGACTCCACAGCACCTTATTTGCATATATGGCAGACTATCAAAGTGAGATATGGGGTTGGAATGAGTGAGAAGAAAGGAAAGCTCAAGTACAAAGTTGCATGCACTCATGGCTCTGTTTCTTGAATTGAGAATTTTACTGTCAGTCTTTCTATGTCCTCTAGTTTTAGTGAAATTTTTATTAACGTACCAGGATAAGGGAGTTAGGTTTCCAGTAGGTGGGAGCAATCTGATCGGTAAGCCAGGAGGTAACTGCTTTGGCGGGTTTGACGCTCAGTTCGGACACCGACTGAGAAATGTATTTGACTCCATCTAGCAGCCTCTGGGCAGCGTTGTTGTTGTCTTTCAAAAAACCGTCAGACTGAGAGGATGAAGAACAACAGTCAACAGAGTTTGAGAGATAGACTTCTCTTGTATATACATATTATACTGTGTCTATACAGGTGCATCTCAAAAAATAATATATTTACATATTCTAGATTCATTACACATAAAGTGAAATATTTCAACCCCATTTTTTGTTTTAATCTTAATGATTATGGCTCACAGCTCATGGAAATCAAAACTTCAGTATCTCAAAACTATTAGAATTTTAGAATAAAGAATTTATAATACAGAAATGTCGACCTGAGAGCCCTAATCAGCTAAATAACTCAAAATACCTGCAAAGGTTTCCCGAGTCTTTAAGTCTGGTTCTAGTGCTCAAGATTTTCCACAATATTCTAATCTTTTGAGATGCACCCGCAGATTGTTAGAGAATCTTTTTTTAACATTAGTTGTGTACTGGTTGTGTACAGTATTATTATTTTAGTCATGTTTATAGAAGTATGATTGACTATTATCACTCAGTACTTACCACCATGCTGAATGAAATACAGTAATTTGTCCCTCTTCATTGCTATTAGGCAGCAGCATGGTCTTATCGGCTGACATCCAGCATGATTTATGCTTGGCATTTAAGCTTCTATCCTCAGCACTTTTGACTAAGTATGCTTCGATCAATATGAAGAAGATGAAAGAAGGTCATAACATTTTACATTAGTTTCCTGGGCATCTACATACAACCAACTTGCAAGAATGTGCTGCAAATGCAGCTCACAGTGGACGTGACAACATTCATTTGACTTAAAACCTTTGAAATCTTGGCCTGCCACTTTAATTGGTTTAAGCGGAATCTCATTTAGGCTGTTCCACTGTGGCCTTACCCCCGGCCAGATGTGCTGGATCTCTGTTCGGACCACTGTTTCCACTGGGTCCTGGTTTCCATACCAGTACTGCCTGCTTCTGTAGATCACTGCACAGTTGGGGCACTCGATTACATACCTGTATGGAGACAAAACAATATCTCAGTTCTGGATTCAAGGGGACAGATTATGTTGCTTCTCCGTCTGCAAGACATTTGGCGTTGCACTTTCTGTGAACGGGCAAATGTTCTAATTTAACATGTGGGTTGATCCCAGTATGCTTGCAAGGAAGCTGGACTCACCCAGACCAAGCGTAGATGGCCAGACCAAACCACGGTGAGTCAGATGAGGCTGTCGTTTTAGGAACCACTATTACCTCCTTCCCTCCCTCATAGCACTCCTGAGAAGTTCAGCACAGACACTCAGAACCTCGTCACACACACCTAATTCAAAACACAGCGCGGGTGGCATTTCGGGTTTGTACTTGCCTTGCAAGTGTAGATGCGGTTGTCATACTGAGCGGAGTAGCGGCAGCGATGTTTGGCTTCGTGGTCGAGTCCTTCCTTCAGGTGATTCATGCTTCTCTTACAGCCTGAACTGAGAGCGTGAGGACACCAAGTAAGAGGAAAAGGCCAGAATTTGTTTGCAAATATTTAAGGGGTATACCTACGTTGAATCTTTGAGGGTGACTGTTAACCAACATTATGGATCATAATTAAAAAAATACTATTGCATTACTTAATCATTAATTAATTAATTATACTATTTACAATGTTCTTATTTAAAGATACAGCAGTGGGAAATTACAAATGCAAGTTAAATGTGCACAGCCCAGTAGTATACTGTGAGAAGCTCCTTCATAACGCTGCTGTGACATCTGAGAATGTTATATGACTTTTCTATCATATTCTTTTTGTGGTCTCACTGATTGTAATTTCTACTTTTTGTTACTGAAAGAGTGAGGAATGAGAGAGAGAGACTTACCCACAGCTGAGGCAGAGGCTAGAGCAGGTAAAGTACTCATCTGGAAAGAATGAGTTACTGGTCATGTGCTCATCTGGAATCTCGCCACTGAAGCTCTCGCTCAGGGCCTGAAGGATGGAGCCAGGAGAAGATGGAGGGACAGGAAGAGTCAATAACGCTCGCTGTATGTAATTTCTTATGTAATTCGGCCAAACTGGCACATTAACACTTTCATAGAGTACACACGCAAAGGTGTCCTGTCTACATCAAATTACAAAATGCCCAGAAGCACGTTTTGTGTATATGATACCAATTCTTCATACAATCAAGCAGCACCACCTGCAGAGCCTTGTAGATGACGCTGGCAGAACGGGGCGAGCGGGTGGTGTTGTTGTCCAGCTGTTGCTCCAGGCTGCGCAAAAGACCGCTGAAGTCCGTGGGAGGGTTGTAGGTCCGAGTTCCACGGTACTGGATGGAGCTGAATGCTTCTGGAAACAGACCCAGCTTCCTGAAACGCTCCTGGAGAAGACGCTCGGCCGATTCAGAAGGTTTGTCTAGAATTTGGGTCAGAGACAGAGTGACGGACAGAGAAAATAACCATCTTTAAACAATCTTACGCCAGTCTTGCTGATTAAATTCCTACAAAGTACGGGTGAAATAATAAAAAAAAGAGGGTGACTTATTTCATGTACCGGATCCTAGCAGCTTGGTGTGGACGGTCTCATGGAAGATGATTACCGCAGGACCCAGAGTGGACAACGGGACGTCCAGACCACAGCGGGTGGTAGTCGCTTTCAGCTCCCTGGTGAAATGTTTCAGGTAGGCATCTGATGCGTCGCCAAGGAACTTGAAGAGATCGTCGTGGAGACGGTCAGCATGGGTTCGGTAGATTACCACATCAGAGATAGCCAGGACTTTGAGGAGCAGCCGGGTTCGCTGACCCTGATTGGCTCCTGATGAATGAAAACAAAGGAGTGAATGCCTGTTAAATGAGAAAAACAGCCCCTATGTATTTATGATACTAAGCAGATCCATCATTTGTGCCATACCAGCCCCAAGAAGTCCTTCTGTGTCGATGACTACCACCCGATGCACAGGGTCCATGGCTGCCCACACACCCACGGTGCAGGACTCTTGGGTGGGTGAGGTCTTGAACACTTCTCGTCCAAGGAAAAATGTATGGTTCAGGGTGTGGGACTTTCCCTCCCCGGTGTTTCCAAAGATGGACACCACCTTGAGGAGCTCATCTGGCCTGCAGCCCAGTCTGCACACAAAGTCCTCCTCATTCTTCACCTGAGAATCCACACAAGATCGGCTCCATCGTCAAAACATCACATTATTGAGGTGACATCAAAAAGATTAAAACCTGCTCTTGAGCATTTACCTTCATCTCCTCCCTCTCATCCACCAGAAGGAAGCTGCACACCTTGTCCAGCTCAGCTTTCAGCATCTCCATCTCTGACTCCCCTGCAGTCACGCTGTTATCCTGGGCAGCTTTGGCAGGGGGGTACGGTGTCAGCGGGTGCTTCTTCTTGTTGACTCCACTGTGGGTGCGTTTCTGGCAGTCCAAACACAGGTTGATCTTACACCCCTGGCAGCGCACCACTGCTCTGAGTCGTCCACCATTGATAGAGCAGCTGCTGTCACCTTTGCACGAGTCACAGAAAGGAACGTGGCCCGGTGCAATCCGAACTCGGTCGTGATTCCTCATCCTATCCTGGCGATGGAGCTCCAGTTCACAGCGGGCACACTGCAAGCTGCCACATTCATCGCATTCAAATGCAGCCTCATCTGAACCACCACAGGCGTAGCTCTCCTGACAGCCAAGGACTGTGTTCATTCCTTTATCTACAGCTGGACCTTGACTACTCATCTCAAACCTGACAGGTCAGGAGGACACCCTCAGTAAGTGAGAGTAACTAGGACAGCTGATGCAGAGGAAGACCCAAAGTTATTGCTTGGTTAAGCAAATCTCTGACCAAATGTGATGAAACCTGTTTTGTTCAAATTCTCAAAAAAGCCACACCAATCATGTGCAAATAAAGTCAAAATGCACAATGAAATGTTCAACCAAGTACCCTGTTACTGCTTATTATTAATGAGGGTGTGCAGTCTGTTTCAAACACACTTGTCAAGACGAGTCATTACTTTATGTTTTGGGACAGCAGTTTGCTAGCTAACATTAGCTGCCTGCATCTCTTGTCTTGTTTTAGTGGTGTTGCAGCTCACCTGACGATGCCAAGTTGCTTTTTAAAGGTAGCCTGGTAGGCTCGTCATAATGTCTAAAAGATGCGGGCTGAAACTCAGTAATACATACTATAGCTATCATTAAGGGACAACAACCTTCGCTTCAAACGACTGACCTAGCAGCGGCTACCAGCCCGACGGACGACGACTGACTCAATAACTAAAATGCTGCCTCATCACAGTCTAAAAGGGGACACGTACACCGGCTAACATCATGCCGCCGACTGCCACATACGGCTAACGTTGTTGCGAAAGTTAGCTAGCTGAGCTATTTTGTGTTGGACCTCTGGAGATGTTGTTGCTTTTTACATCAGCTGATCGGCTTGTTTTTGTCCAGAGGTCAAAAGTCATTAAAACACAATGCATTTTGGGAAATGGAGGGTTTGGGAGTTGCATATAAAGACGATGGTTAAATATGTGCTTTTACACTATTTATACACTTGTATTCGATGTTGTAGTACATATAGTACTTATACTCCTGACATGGCTGATAAAGTTAGTTTAACAAAGTAACTACCTGCCTACGTAAAGAGACTAACCGTTGCCCACAATGCTTTGCACCTTCCAGCTGCTATAGATTCCACTTGTATTTATACCCGGCGTACACCGACGATTACACAGAGTTACACGGAGACAGCAACTGATATAAGTACACACCGTGTTAATTACAGTTGCTGCGTAACATACAACATATTTTATTGTGTATAGTGTATAAATATTTAAATGCCTCGAGTTGTTGTGAAGCGCATGGATCCACAGTGCCTGCCTTTTCGACTGTGTTTTAGCTTTTAACATCTAACCCGAACAACCCGGTGTACAAAACGAGCGCAACCAGTGTGAGAAATTGTTTTGGCATCATTTCAGTTTAGTTCAGTCCTACAAATATTCAGTGGTTTTGCGCGTTACATTTTCTCTTATGTTGTATGTGTAATTGAAGAGACTTACAGGACTTTGCCTTTTCCCGTTTAAGAAAGCTCCACTTTGTGTCTTCATGCGCGGCTGACCTTGCCTGTTCACTGACAGCCAAAATTAGTGTAAGCTAGCTAAGCTAAGTGCTTGTGTCTCCCAGAGTTCACTTAACGTTAATGTTCGCGTAATTGTTTCTGTTGCGTTCATGATGGAAGATGAAGCTTTCACTGATATTAATGGCAAAACGATATCTCTGGACTGTCAGTGTCACTCCGGCTTTTGCAGGGAGTTCACTGTCAGTTCCCCGAAAGTGTCCATGGGCAAGGTGATGGTGTTCACCTCCTCTGTTTGGCTTGTGGCATACGCCGTGTTCTTTTTCACTGAGGTGAGACAAATACACGTCGTAGCTGTGCACTGGGTTGGACCAGCTATGTGTAACTTCTCTCCTGAGTTAGGGTGTGAAGTCGACTAAAGGCTTAGTCACTACTAGTTAGTTTGTAACTAAATCAGCTACTAAAATTGGGTTCACAACAATTAAGTGGGGCAGAACCTCACTAGTTTGGACGTAAAGTCATAATTAAGGCAGGTGGCCAATCAGCGATCAAAGATACAGCTCCATCATCATGGTTACCTTGAGCATTAGCTTTTTGACTGACAAGAGTCACTTGCAAAGCTAGCCAGATTCTGAGTATCATTTCAATAAATTAGGTCTCTACAGGATTAGTGTTTTAAAATGAAATGCAATTAATGCAAAAATTACTGTGTGGCAGAAAACTGCAGTTTAACCTCTAGTAAATATACAAGACATGACAGTTTGTGATTTACTACCTACATGTGTAACCATTTAGTTGTTTCTTTATTTATGTTGTATCTTATCTCTGTGGTGCAGCTGCTTTGATTTTAGTTAGGGCTGGACGATATGGCCAAAACTGTCATCAAGATAAAAAAATTTCATGTCATTCAATATTTTTGCTCCTGGGTGGAAGTTGAGAGGAAACCAGGTGCTTATTTATGGTTTTGTACTTTTCTTTATGGTCAGAACAAACTTTCCAAACAGTGGACCACTTCACAAATCTGAGGTAGAACATTCAAAACAATTATGATAAATATTTTTTCAACAAATATGCATATGTAAAATTGTGTAAAATCATGTTTTTTAGTCCCTTTTTCTCAACAAAATAAATAACAGAAAAATGTAGTGCTAATTCGTTTGTGATTCAAATGAATTAAATCAAACATGTATTGAACATTTGTTATATTGTTATTTAAAAAAATTATATCACAATAATTTTCATATTATTTTATTACCCAGCCCTAATTTTAGTAATGTATAAGTCAAAACTTATTAATAATTTACGTTATACCTAGTCTAAGTTTGAACGTACTTACCCTAACCCTTGCAACAGTCACTCCTGGCTGAATCAGTTTGCCCCCATATTGCTACTAGACCATAAATCACGTCGTCTTGAATAGTTTTCACTAAAAAAGTACCATTAAGTAATTTATACAAAATTTATAAACTGAATTACTGTTCTAACTTTCCTGTCATATTATCTTCATATGACCATATCATACACCTCAGAGCACTGACTGTCATATCGTCATTCCTGATGTTGAAGCAATCAGTCAAATATATAGCATTATTTGTGCCATTTTTCCAATATCATTATTTTGGAGGGGTTAAACCAGACCAAGATACTTCTAATGGACAAAATATTGATGATGCTCCTTCTGATCTGTAGCCTACATTTAAATGATCACAAGTATTGTACATGACAATATCACACTGAACAAGACCTTCCCTCTCTTGCAGAACACTGCTGTTCTGTCCGGTGCTATATTTGTCACCCTGGTTGGCATGATGCTTCACATCCACTTTGTGAAGGTGGACCATGAGTCCCTGCTTGTCATTGGCTCCTTAGGCATTCAGTTGTCCTCCAGCTACGCCTCAGGCCGTGAGACCACCACATTCATTGAGATGAGCAAGATCAAGGATATTGTCATCAATGAAGCTATTTACATGGTGAATAAGGAAATTTGTCTCTTCTGTCTATTGTTTGTTCGCACTTTCATTAATATCATGACTCTATGTTATTCAGTTTGTGCTTTTTTAAGATGAGTGGATTGACATCTAATGCTTTTATTTCAGCATCAAATCATCTACTACCTTTGCGTACTGTTGAAGGACCCCTCAGAACCTCATGCGGTGTCAAGTGTTGTGCCATTGTTTCAGGTGAGGTCTGATGCCAGGTGTACACATATCTCATAAAACAACTTGCATTTCGACAAGTTACTTATTCTTGTCTGCACACCGTAACCCATTTATAATGAACCCCCTTTCCTCATTTTTCAGAGTTCAAAGCCAAGGCTGAACTGCTTAGTGAAAGTTTACAAAAGCTGTCAGGAGATCCTTTCCAAGTGCTGATGACACACATTAGAAATGTTTCTTGTCGCACAGCATGCTTTTTACAGCAGGTAGTTTATTAGTTTATTTTGGCACAGCTTGATTTGATTGGATCTACATGAATTCAATCTGTTAAATACAAAAGAAAATGTTGCCGTGTTTAACAGACCAATATTAGTGTCAGAATGACTTTATGTAGTACTTTGTTTTTTAGTTACTTGAATTACTTAATAACACTGGTCCTAGACTACCTGTTTAAATCCAAAGACCCAAACCTTTTCTCTGATGATGTATTAAAGAGATAGAAATGACCTTTAACAAATTTGCTTTAATACTTATTTATGCATTTAGATTTGAATGGATTCCTTTATGTATTTTATAAGCATTACCACACTGTATTGTTAAAAATAAATGTGATAAAACATTTTTAAGTCTTATTGTTCCTAAATTATTTGCTGTCACTGGTGAGTAGTGTACTGGTAGTGATATGCCTGCTGGTGAATGTTTTTGAGGAGCTTTGTTTTCTGTACCCAGTAGGGGGCAGCACCACACTTACTCAAGCTTGTGCTAATCAAACATTAATAAATCATTCATGAACCAGTTCAGACAAAAGCACTTCAGATGTACAGACAATGTATCCTATTCTTTGATTTGAATTTACACTTTAGAACAGAGTTATTAAAGGAGATGTGTAAATGTGTCAGAAGTACTATGTATGTACACTTTTATAAGTAAACATCCACACCTTCTTCCTCAAATTTATTTTCACTTCCTCATAACTACATGTGCATCTCATCTCCTGGAAGCAGTTGGTCACATTATCTTCACTTGTCTGTTACCTTACTTGTGACTGATGTCCCAGACCTGTTTTCAGAAATGCTACTCAAGGTTACCTCACACACACCAAGTGACAGTAATGACGGTGTGTGCGTGATCAAGTTCAGGTCGAACTCTGTTGCAGTGGAATGACAGTTTGATAAGGCCTTAACTCCTAGTTTGAATATTATTATGAAAGTGTTAACAAATATAAGTGCTGTCCTGAGACTAGAGTCAAAGTCAGTGCCCAGTGCTTACTGTAACACCCTTTGTAATACTGTTTGTATAAATTACTATATAAATATATTATGTAAGTGTGAAGGATATTAACATAGACAAGGTGCTCATTAGTTTCCTCCAGGAAGCAAAAAGTTTTCCTCCTCAAATGCCTCCAGGGCAGAACTAATCTATAACAATATAGCTGAAAGTTAATGGGCCTCCATTGCCCACAGTTTAAAGTTCAGCGCCCTAGTTTTCACCACCACTCTGCCTGCGTTTTCCCCTCCAGGCCTTGTTTTTTCCATCCATCGTAATTTTCGAGTACCATCTGCAGCTCACGGTCAGATCTGTGTGTGAACCCCATCCTCCACAGGCCAACAAAACAAGCAGGAGGGTGTGATTTTCACAGAGCAAAGCGTTACGCTGCTGTGAAGAGTGGCCCTCTGACGGGATAATTGTCCCTCCTGGAGGTGCGAAACAGCCAGGAACCAGGGAGAGGAGAAAACCTGGGAGTGACACCTCAGGGCTCGGGAATAGGCCTCATAAACTGGTAACCCCCCTGAGTGTAAATCATCAGGTGGTGAAGAGGTTTGGCTGGTCAAAAACTCAGTGAGGCTTTCTTTAGCCAGAGGTGTGGACTGTAAATTACCCCAGTTTATAATAGGGCTGTAATCGCACATTTACTTTTTATGGCTCACCTCTTGTATTCCTGTGGATATTTTAAACTTAAAAAAATACATACCAAGACATACCGAACTCCTGTTGCCTGTCCTTGTACTGCTGGTTTTCATTAAATTTGTTTTATGTAATTCTTGTAGTTCTCGGTGGATGTGTTGAATCAGCTTTCAGTGTTTTGGGTGTAGGAACCTCTGGGTTTAGTGGGAGAGGAGGGATTGGACTCCTCTATTGAGATGGGGAGTTGCCCCTTTACCACCTGCTGTGCACACAAACACATGCGCACACATTCAAATGTACTCACTGTTCAAAAACATAATCATGACACATTCAGAGGTTATGACTGAAGTTAAAGGAATAGTTCAACAGTTTGCTCTTATTCGCTTTCTGGTAAGACGAGAAGATCAATACCACTTTTATGTCTGTCTGTCTATAACTTTTACTCCGAGGTACCTAAGAGGTCTAACCAAATTAATATAACATATATATATATATACACTGATAAAGTTTGCTTTTCTTGTACGTTGAGCTCTTGGCTGACAGATCCGGAAGGAAGAAGGTGTCCCAGCATTGTTTGAAATCTGTCCGTTTATCCTACTGGTTCATACAGGCAGGTGTAACTTGATGTCTGTTTGGATTTGAATCTCAAAAGATCCCTCCCTACCTCACGTCATTCTCCCTCTACTGAACACAGGTACACAGTGTTGTGGTCTTACATGGAAGTGTGTCTTCCTGTGGGACCTGTATTTACAACACCTTGCCAGCCATTTAAAAAATGTATAATAAACTTTTTTTTCCTTCTAAAGTTAGTGGACATTTTTGTGTTACATTTTGGGCAGTGCATGTGTCATGTAATAATGTCATGTAATCCATATCAGTTTACCCTGACTGTCTGTTGGTCATTAGAGCTACCTTTGGGGGACTCTAACTTCAGAACTTTTTGTTCTTCTCCCCAGTGTTCAAAATGTCCTTGATCACCTCTCCAAACAAATGTGTCTCTTTGTATACTCTGTGCACCAAGCAAGGACAGGCTAATGCAGCCTGTAAGAAGAGAAAGCAAGCTATAAGACAATAATATACTTAATAAAAACAATATTTGTTTATACAAAATATAGTGAAATCAGCTGTCTATAGACCTTAACAATACTATACTATTTACAGAAAACAGAAACTATTCATGATCAACAGTGCTCGCCCTCCTCTGCATTTAACTAGATTGTTTTATCTAGTTTAGTGTACATTATTGACAACGGAAGGACAGATAAGACTGAGCTGCAGGTCTGAGGATAAGACTGGTCTGCTGTGTGGCATTGCACCGGGCTTGGTACAAAGGAACGCTTATCAAACTCTCTGGAACCTCTTTAGTAACATGAGTCACTGATTCCAGTCCATGATAGGAAATTAAATATGTCTAATCCTCTACTCTTTTTGGATTATAATCTAAGGGTCTTTGCAGGCTTACATTTACCTGTGTACCACATGCGGTACAAAAAACAAAAAACTCCCTTCTATCTTCTAACTGCTGCTTGGTGTCCATTTAGTCAGAGGAATATTAATTTCCATTGTCGTTAGAGCCCAGATAAACCACTGTGAGGCTGTTTGACAAGCGTCTCAAGGAAAAAAGACACATTTGTTATATACAATTTGTTACATATCAATATACATCCAATGACTTGGATATTTATGTAATCCATCAACCCTGTAACTAAAGGCAGTGACATTGTACTGCTTTGGTAATCTGCAACCAGTGTGATTCATTTTTTTTCCTTCAGGGAAAGACTTATTTGCTCAGAGAGCAGCTTCTTTCCTAGGCAGGAAAGTCCAGCGGTGCCCTTCTTCTTTCCTCTCACAGCGGATATTGTTGAACCTCATTGTTGAGGCTGCCAAAATGTATTTACCCAAGCTTTAATCACCTCAACCTGCCACTCAGTGAACCTTGTCAATGACACTGTTAATATGACTTGCTGATCCTGTTGGAGCTTTGGCAAAGTGACAGCAAAGCTCCCTCCTCCTGTGCCAGTCAGTTTGAATGCTTTTTTTTTTTTTAAGTACAATGAAATAAATGAAAGCAACTTGTCTCAGGTCACTCCTCTTGCAGAGTCACCTGGTAGGTGTGAGGTAAGTGAGACAAACTTCTAGTCAGACCAGCTGGCAGCAGATAAGAGAGCGGGAAGCCTGCTTTACAGGTCTGTCAGGGGGCTTACAGCAGAAAGCTACCTGCAAACACACATCCATTTGCTCTGTTTGTCTCCGGAGGAAAACAGCCATGCCATTGTAATGAGTGCGTATGAGCATGTGGGTTTGTGTATGTATGATGGCAGGTCTTAACTGCCATATTCAAATCCTCTGGCCATGTCTTTGCTTTTATTGGTCTGCAAAGAAGTGATTTGATTGTCCCTCTGTTGTGTGTCTCCTCATTACATTGCTCTATTCCCACTCTCATCAGTCATATACCATTGCTGTGTGATGACAGCTCCTCGGTTTCTTAACTATCAGTGTTGCCGCAGTGTCTGTGACTGGAGACTGAGTTAGAAATAATGTGGTTTGCATAAAACTTAAAAGGCAATGCATTTAAAAGGGCCATTAATAAACAAATGTGACATTAGAGAGGATCTTCTAATTCATGGAGTGTTTGTTTAGTTTATTTTTCATTATAAATCATGCTGAAGAGGCCGCCATCTTGTCTGATTTTGGTGAAGTCATTTTATGCTGTAATGCTTTTTGTAAAACCTTGTTTTTTTTTTCATCTCTAACTTTTGTGTCAGTTATAATTGCGAATTATCCCAACACTGGAAACTCCGCTTAGACAGCTTGTAAAAGTAATGGCAGAGCTGTTTCCGTCATGTCTCATAATAAATAGTCATGCACAGGTATGTGTGTCGTGGATAAGTACAGTATGCCTGCTCAGTAATCAGCTGTTGCAGAGATGCAAATTTTTAAGATGCTATGTCACTTGTTCAGAAGTACCCCTATGGTTAGCACGTAGCCTAAAGCTCTTGCTCCACACGTGAAATCAAATCACATGTAACAGATAATGGACAGGGTGAGTGAAGGATATAGTCACAGTGAGGGGGTGGTGATGGTGCAGTGGATAAGACACATGCCTTTGGTGTGAGAGACCTGGGTTCAAATCCACTGTGAGACACCAATGTGTCCCTGAGTAAGAGTCACTTTGGATAAAAGCATCAGCTAAATGTAACAATAAATGAAAGATAGGGACATTGTCAAGGTTACAATGAAAAACGGTGCTCCTTTATTGATAATTAACCTACCAGTAGTAGAGCAAATCTGTTCTTTTACTGTTCATTTTAAAATAAAAACTAAATTTACACATATGAGTTAAGGAAACACTCTTTTCTTTTCCTAAACACTCTTTTACAGCTCATGAAAAAAAACTGATGTTTTTGAGCTATAAGGTTTGCCGTGAAAGACACTTTATATCATGTGCTTATCTTAGATTTACAAACAATCAACGGTGAATAGGAACTCTTGGAAGCCCAGCAGGAATTTTATATTACGTCATGATGAATACCTGACACATCCGCATTGTCCCAAAACACCTTGCGTCTAAACTGTTTTGCTATCATATCTGAGGACATCTCTCCAGACAAACAGCATGGAGTGCAGGAGTGTTGCTGTGTTTTGCTACTGTGTCAGTGTTGATCTACAGCTTCTTCTTGTTTTCCTGAGGTTACGGTCAACAGGCCTGCTTTATG